GACCTCAGAATGAAGCGTTTGCTGCCCTGAAAGAGAAACTCACCTCTGCTCCAATCCTTCGTCAGCCTGATTTCGCGGTTCCATTCGTCATACGTACTGATGCCAGCGCCTTTGCTTTGGGCGCAGTCTTGATGCAAGGATCTGATGTTCATAATGAACGGCCAATTGAGTATGCCAGTCGATTATTGACTTCAGCGGAACTAAATTACTCCACCACCGAGCGCGAAGCATTAGCGGTTATTTGGGCGTTAGATAAGTTCAGGGGATATGTGGAGGGTTCCCCGATTAAGGTTGTTACCGATCATCAACCCTTGCGGTGGTTGATGTCCCTTAAAACACCCAGCGGTCGTTTAGCACGGTGGACAATGAAGGTACAATCTTACAATATCGATTGGGAATACACACCGGGAAAATGTAATGTTGTCGCCGACATACTTAGCCGTCTGCCTCTCCCAGCGTTCAACGAGAAGGACGTGGAATGTAAAGCATGGCCCAATCTCAATAGATTTACCTCATAAGGGGCCGGAGGAAATCCGGGTTGCTCAACTTGAAGATCCTGACGTAGCGAAGATTTTAAAAGATTTTGAGAGTAATAATGACTTTATCAGGTGGACTGATCGTGGATACTACGTATCTCAAGGAGTTTTATACCGAACCGATTCAGATAGCGACTCTGATGAGCCGCAGTTAGTCGTCCCAGATTCCATGAAGGAAGAATTACTCAAGGAACTTCATGATGCCCCAACTGCCGGCCATCTTGGTGTAGAGAGAACGCTCGAGAAATTTTTTCCCGCAAATGCGTCAGTATGTCACCCAATATTTGAAATATTGTGATCTGTGTCAAGCATTCAAACCTAGTAATTTAAAACCCGCTGGATTTTTACAAACCCCAATTATGCATCAGAGATTCGAAGTTTTGGCCATGGACCTTTTTGGGCCTCTTCCTCAAGGCAGTGACGGCGAAAAATGGATCTTCCTGGTCGAAGATGTAGCCACGAGATGGGTAGAACTGTTTACTCTCGTAGATGCTACTGCTGAAAAGTGTGCTAAGACCCTAGTCGATGAAGTCTTTTTACGGTACGGCTTGCCACGTCGGGTGATATCGGATAACGGGTCCCAATTTGTCTCAGCTATAATGCAGAAAGTAATGCTCGCTTTAGGGATTACTCAAAATTTGCCACCAGTATATCATCCCCAAGCAAACCCTGCTGAACGTAAGAACCGGGATATGAAATCTATGCTGGCAATTTTAGTTAATACTGATCATCAGGATTGGCCCAAGCACATCCCAGCGGTGCGATTTGCCCTTAATACCGCAACTAATCAGACCACAGGACATACTGCTGCCTATTTAGCTTATGCCCGTGAGTTGCGTTCCCCTATAAATATAATAAATGACATCCGTACCGTTACAGAAAAGGAGAACTTTGTTTTCCAAATTACCCCATACTTACGGGATTTTGTGGAATCATTCCAAGAAATATGTTGGAGACAAGAGCACCAGCAAGATCTGAGGAAAGATGCAGCGGATCGGAGTCGTCGCGATGGACCATTGTATTGTGAAGGCGATCTGGTGCTTGTCGCGAATAATGCACTTAGCCAAGCTTCCAAAGGTTTAACTAAAAAGTTCTTTCCAAGTCGCATAGGTCCTTTTAAAATAAAAAGGGTTATGTCTGCCTCTACTTATGATGTGGAGGATAATGAGGGTAACTTAAAAGGGAAGTACCATACAAAGCTCCTCACACCGTATATAGGTGATTCTGATTTAACAACTATGACTAAGAAAGGTAGGCCGCGGCTTAGGTCCAAGTCACCCCCGGGGCGGGTTGGTGACTTGGAGGGGGAGGATGAAGCACCACGTTCCGTAATGTCGAGGTCCGGTCGATCTATTCGTGTACCGCGCCGATATACTTAACTTATCTATGAAAACGTCTTTGATAGACAGATGTCTTAATATTAGAAAAATAATCTCTTTGCCGTTAAAAAATGATTGTTAGAGAATATGTTGATTTTGTTAAGAAAACGCTGTTTATTAGTGAATTATAAAACATTAAAGTGATTAAGAAGAATAGTGTGTTTTTTCTGTCATCAACGACTTTACGACATTCACGTTATAAGGTAACCTAACTCTATAAGATGTCTGACTGATGCAAAAATAAGATCACCCCCATGTATGTTCTACGATTTTACGTCGTTTTCGAGTTATAATATTTTTAATGATTATTTTCGTAATTTTCACCTAACAACAGTTTTCGATTTTTTTCTCATTCCGTTGGACGTATCTGGTTCAGTTGTTTTGTGATTATTGACTAACATAGTCTAACCTAGCGCCCTAAAACTTATGGTTTATCTAGGCATTGCAGAATTCACTTAGAATTTGTTCGAAAGTTCAAAATTACGATTTGAGCTCAGTACACACAAATTTTCAAAGTATCAAAAAAAATGTAAATGGGGGGATTTGGAGTTCAAAGTGCTTCTAGAAACTTCCTGAGACATTAAACTTTAAAACAAGGCCAAATAAAGATAGGGTTAAGGGGGTTTATTTTCTGTAACTGACCTTCAAAGTAAATTAAGGCATTTTCAAAGGAAAAAAAATAATTATTTTATTTTATTTTATTTAAATCTTTGACTTTCTATGAGTTATGATGGATTTGAGTAAAACGCAGTTAATTGTTAACAAAATACATTTATTTAAAGCAAATTTTCAAAATTTCGCCCTCCCATAGAAATACACAATCTACATCTGCGCAAAAAATTATGTTTTAGGTGCCTAAATGCTTCACGGTTATTTTTCACAGTGGTTTCAGCTTCCCGAATTTTTGCTCTCAATTCTTCTTCACTCGAAACTTCTCTGGCGTACGCAATTTCTTTATAGTAGCCCCAGATAAAAAAAATCAATAGGGTTGAGGTCAGGCGAGCATGGTGGCCAGGCAATTGGCCCTCTGATCCACCTGTTGGGGTAGGTCTGGTCTAAATAACGACGCACTTGTATCGCGTAATGACATGGTACCCCGTTGTTCTGGAACACCATCGTTCTTCTTAATTCAAGATTTACATCTTCTAGTAATATGGGTAGATTGTCTTCTAAAAACTTTTGTATGTGTCGCCGTCTAATCTCGATGGCAGTTCAAATGGGCCTATTAATTCGCCATTCAAAACACCAGACCACATGTTCACGCCAAAACGATGTTGAAATGATGATGGTCTGGCAGCATGTGGATTTTCAACGACCCAAATGTGAAAATTGTGGATATTGAAAACCCCAATTCGCTCAAATCTTGACTCGTCGGTCCACAAGATTTTATTAAAGTATCCGGGATCTTCTTCCTCTTTTTGCAACATAGTTCTACAGAACTCGACTCTCAATTGATAATTTGAAGGCTGCAACGCTTGTATTTTTTGTATGTGGTAGGCGTGAAATGATTCCTCACGCAAAATATCCTGTATTGAAGATCTTGGTATGTCAAGGTTACGAGCTAATGCTCTCGTACTTGTACTACAATTGCGTTGCACTTCTTCCAGTACGATTTCCCTATGTTCCTGGTCAACCCTCTGAATGCCTTCACCGCCACGTTGGCCAGGAATGCGGCCTGCCATTAACGTATTGTGAGTATTAATGAACACACGATAGTCAGGGTAATGATCAGGTTGCGCTCCGCCTCGGCATTGAAGTTGATCCCTGTACAGTCTTGCTGCTTCACGACCGTTGCCTTATGCAACGCCGTAGAAATAATGCGTTTCTGCATATTCACTCAGAGTGTAGGGCATCACTAACATTTCCTAGTAACTACAATCGAAATCGTTAGGCACAACGGAATCCAGTAACAAGCAGGGGTCAAACTAGTAAGCAGCGGCGGCATCAGTAGGCAAATAGTGGTCGAGAAAAAACGGCAGAACAAGACGAGTAGAAGTAAACCTCAACCCTATTGATTTTTTATCTGGGGCTACTTTAAAGAAATTGGGTACGCCAGAGAAGTTTCGAATGAAGAAGAACTGAGAGCAAAAATTCACGAAGCTGAAACCACTGTGAAAAATAACCGTGAAGCTTATAGGCACCTATAACATATTTTTTTGAGCAGATGTTTATTTCTGAGGGAGGGCGAAATTTTGAAAATTTGCTTTAAATAAATGTATTTTGTTAACAATTAACTGCGATTTACTCAAATCCATCATAACTCATAGGAAGTCAAAGATTTAAATAAAATAAAATAATTATTCTTTTTCCTTTGAAAATGCCTTAATTTACTTTGAAGGTCAGTTACAGAAAATAAACCCCCCTTAACCCTATCTTTATTTGGCCTTGTTTTAAAATTTAATGTCTCAGGAAGTTTCTAAAAGCACTTTGAACTCCAAATCCCCCGATTTACATTTTTTTTTGATACTTTGAAAATTTGTGTGTACTGAGCTCAAATCGTAATTTTGAACTTTTGAACAAATTCTAAGTGAATTCTGCAATGCCTAGATAAACCATAAGTTTTAGGGCGCTAGGTTAGACTATGTTAGTCAATTAACACAAAAAACTGAACCAGAAACGTCCAACAGAATGAAAAATCAAAAAATCATTAAAAATATTATAACTCGAAAACTACGCAAAATCGAAGAACATACATGGGGGTGATTTGGATACTCTTCATCATAAGATATCTTAATTTTACGCTTGAACGTCAACTCCCCGGCCAACCTGTATATAGAATGACAGGGATACAGTGATATCGATTCTGGCATGATTCTTTAAAGCTAAACTTAAATTTGACACCAGTGCATCCTTGTCCTTCTCTATACAGAATGAAAAGGTGAGACTGACCTTAAATTTAGTTTTAAGTTTAGAGAATCACGCCAGAATTGACACCACTGTTGTCAAATTTAAGTTTGGACTTAGAGAATCGTGCCAGAATCAACACCTTATTACTCTAGGCTACAGTAATCCTGTTTGTATGTGATGCCCCTTGGTGATGCCTGCCATGCCAACTCTATGGAGGAAATTAAAAAAAAACCACATGGGGGGGGCCGCTTGCTACAGAAGTTTTTGAGGGTTATTTTTTAAGATTTCTAGCAAAGGCAGTTTTATATTTGTATTTATAAATTATAAAAAGTGTTAAATAATTTAATTTTATATTAAAATCTGTATAGCAATAGCGAATTTTACTAAAAATGCTAGTTGAAGATTATACCGCGGGAAAACTGTGAAACGTTTGACTTTGACTACTCTAATGGCCGCAATAGCGCCAATGCTCTTGGTGTTTGTTCTTTTCCATTAGATTAGTGCTATAAATGTGCGTTGAAATCATGTTTTCAAGTTAAAATTACTTAAGTGAGATGGACATCAACGCTGGTAAGCACATATTTTGTATTTCATGTTGAGACGTGTAATAAATTACGAATTACTCAATCTTTGAAGAACATCGCTTTTCATCTCATAGTGGCCACTAATACCCTTTCATCACATTCTTCAAAAATTTAATCTACAAGGTTGGTCATTATATGCATTTGACCAAATTTTATGCATTGTTTATTACATTGAATTACATCCGCTATCTAATGCAGTTGCAGACATTCATTAACAAGGAACTCGAAATTTATATTTTAAAATAATTACCAAAATTTCTTTTCGGTCATACTTCCCATGATCATAAGCTAACCAAAGCTCCTGATTTTCATTTTGTGTGATATAAATATTGACAGAGGCAATGTTTTTAAGCGAAAAAAGGATTTATTTACAATTATTTGCTATCTCCTACAATTAGCCACATTTTAGTTTCTTCTTATTAGATTGGCTATTACCTAGATTCTAAAGGTTTTGCAGCGTTAATAAAATAGTTTACTCTTTTTTTTAATTTCTTAAATTCATTTATTAGTTTTGTACATAATACTAAAATTTCATCTATCTAAGCTATGCACCAATAAATATAATAGTAATTTCATATGATTAATTGACCCTTAATTTCATGTTACTTATATAAAATGTATGTTCTGTAACATAATAACCAGTAGGCGACATTTTTGATATGATTAAATTGACAGACTTTAGAGAATGAACAAAATAATCAATATTTTCACAGTCATCAGTGCTAGATGACTGTGTATTTATATTTACTAAATAATTAATGTTACAGGTTAGAAAAAAAAAAGATTACTTTGTCACAAATAAAGAGGACATTGAAATCAAATTTTATGAACTACTAAATTAGGCTGCAGGTTCTTGAAATATAATCCTATACATGAGGAAAAGTTTATACCACACTCACCATACCATACTTATCACTTAATTCATTTTGTTTGAAATTTTACTTTAACATGTTATAGTCATTAGAAATGTAGGAGAATGCTATCATTCTAATATATTAATAGTTCTTTTCTTTTTTTTTTTTTTAACTATAATATTGATCAATGTGCATTCTCATTATTGACTTATTTCTGATATTATACATTTTATTTTTTAATCATCCAACTGTTAGATGTCCTGTCTACTGCCTGATCCATGTGGAATTCTTTCTTGTATTTTTCTTCCCATATGATTTTCTAAAGTTAAAACTAATATCTATAGCAGTTTCTTTCTTTTTTCATTAACATATCAGGTGTGCTTATGAATTTGGCATGCTTAACCATTACATATATAAATAAATACATTGTTATTATAGCAAATTTAGAAAAAAAATTCAATGAAATACTAATGTCAAATTTAGTTTTCAGAACAAAAACTAAAGCGTAGATTTTTTTTTAATTCAACTCATTAATATTTGTTTCTTAGGTTTTCACACACACTCATTAAATAAAACTAGTTTTAATGGTTTAGAATGCATGATTTATTGATGTTTTGCATCCTTCCTTAGACAAACAACTCATCCTGTAATGGATGCGAATCGTCAATAAATAAATAAATCAGTGCATCTATACTCTTGAAACTTGTTTTATATAACTCATTAAATCAACTTCTTTTCTTTTATTTAGGCCAGAAAAGAGGCAAATACATGTTGCTATGAACAGTGTGCGTACCACTATGCAAACATCAAAGTGGATATCTTTGGCCCTTGTACGCTTGTGGATACTTTTTTGATATTGAATCAAAAAGCGATCTAGTATTAAATGCAACCTGCCAACACACTACTAATACATATAGTCTAAGGGGAAGTGTACACTCAAACATCATTGCATTATTTACCTATAATGCGAAGAGATGGTGCTGCCTTGCAGCTTAAGAATAGCTAGAAAGAATTTCGACGCGGTCCGTGAGGGCCGCGGTAGCATAATTGGTCAGTGCATTCGCCCGGATTGCGAAGGGTGCGGGTTCGAGTCCCGTCTCCTGCCTGGTCCGCGTGGAATTTTTTCTAGTTATATTTTCTTTAGATTTAAACATCAAGCAGTTAGTTACATGCTTTAAAAATAATAAAAATTATAACTATAATTGCTATTTCTTCTTTCAAATGTTTAATACTTGTAAAAAGTATTCATTTGACATTGTGGGTTTACCTATAATGCGAAGAGATGGTGCTGCCTTGCAGCTTAAGAATAGCTAGAAAGAATTTCGACGCGGTCCGTGAGGGCCGCGGTAGCATAATTGGTCAGTGCATTCGCCCGGATTGCGAAGGGTGCGGGTTCGAGTCCCGTCTCCTGCCTGGTCCGCGTGGAATTTTTTCTAGTTATATTTTCTTTAGATTTAAACATCAAGCAGTTACATGCTTTAAAAATAATAAAAATTATAATCATTGCATTACTTCAATGCTTAGTTCTTGTTCTGAGGTTATACCATGCAAGTTTAGGAGTCCTATTCTGACATACAAAAACTAGATTTGACTGTATCATTATATGATTAAACTTAAGATAAATTTGTTTTCTTATTTGCTCATCAATGGAAACGGATTGCAAGTGAGTATTTATATGAAGACAAAAATTATTAGGATTCATGTAAAATGAACTTAAATTATATACTTGTGTAGATATAAAAAGCCTTTTTATTTTAAAGAGTAATATGTTTTAGATCAACCCCTCTGGCCTCAAATGTTGTAGAAACCACTTTGGGCCAAAATAAGTTAAAAATTCAGTTTTGTTTATTTTTTCGATCTGTCTAAAAATTGTTGTTTACTACTGATGCTTTCTTTGTCATTAACCAAGATCTATTACATAACATGTATTTTAAAAGATAATTTGTGGTGTAAATTAAAAGGTAAGTCAAACAACTATATTCTATTATATAAAATATAAGATAATTATGTAACTAGAAGGTAGTAACAACAATATCACTGAAATCAAGACCTCCTAGATCAATCAAAGATCCTAGTACTTAAGTCATTTACAGCTATTTTCTTTTAACAATGAAATAATTGTATAAGTAGATGGTTGTAAACTACAATTTTATATGTATATTCAACCCCTCTGGCTTAAATTGTCGTAAACACCATAACAGACTTTTTACACGAGGACCAGAAAACAAAAAATAAATAAACAGATATTTTTACCTGATTTGGCTATATTTAATGGTTAATGTATATTAAAATATTCTTATGCAATAAGCAATAAAACATTTACAAACTGAAACGGTAAAGAAAATGAGAACTAAAGAAATCCAAGTAGCAACTTTTCAAAGAATAGAGATACTGTACAAATTATATACTCGATGAAGCCAGATTTTAGGAAACGGTAATAGAAATGTGTACTGAACAAAAATGGTAAAGGAAAAGGTAAGGGGAAGTGAAAGAACAAGGCACAATTATTATTCACCTTTGGTAGAAAAGCAAATTACCAATGTCAGTTGCTAAATTCAAAGATTTAAAGCACCTTTGTGACATTGCAACAACTCCTAAACATTACCATAAAAAATATTTACAACTCCCAAATGAGACTTAAGTTCGGGATGCGTTCAATTAAATTTTTGGTAATTATGGCTGCGTCTCATTACGTGACGATTCTTCGATTCATGCAGATGGCAAAATAAATGCAAACTGCTGATTATTTAAATTTACTCTACTAATTACATAAGGAACTTTTTCAATATTTATCTCGATATCAAGGTTAAACATGTACCTACCTACCCACAATGTTATAATAAAAATAAATATCTCATTGATTACAAATTAGTTCATTAAGTAAATCACCAAAGACAATGAGTTACTCGTATTAACTCTACTTTCCGCATAATATCCACCTTTTCTTGAAAATAAATTACGTAACTTAGAAAATAAAAATGTAGTATAGTGAGGATCGGGCGCGAGCGTTCGTAGAGTAGAGACGCTACTGAAGTTCGAGCGGAGTGAACCACGATCGAGCTCTGTGACGTCACACGTTTCGACCGTTGGTAAATATTGGCAACCATAATTTTTTTTATAAAATCCGTTACGATGATTTTAAAAAGCTCTGCTGACTTAGTAATGATCCTCATTAATGGAATGAAATAATATGTAAATAATTGAAAATGTGAATAAAACACACAATTAATGTATGTCTTGTCAATTGCGGTCATAATTCTTAGGGCTTTTAGTGATAGTTCAGTAAAATTATCATTTCAATGTATGGGTTAGTTTGCACCAAAGCCGGTAGTTCAGATGTTTTGAAGACAAGCGTATAATGTTGGCCTAATGAATAATCCAAATTAGTGACCTAGAATACCGAACGCAACTATGTCAAAAATCGTTAAAAACGCGAAAATTTCATCTTGTACAAATCTAAAAAAGATTTGGGCGATTAGGTATAACCCTATAAAACTGATTGATAAAAAATTCTTAAGATGTTTCTAAAGAAGACTTAATTTGCCACAATATGGAATTGTCTTTGTAGAGCCATAACTTTCCGAAATAAATATTATGCAACAGAGTTTGTGGTGACCAGCTCGTTTGCCCGCAGAATTATGACACACAATTATGTCAATATCCCTTAATACAAAAATAAAAACTTTAGTACAATAAAAAGGCGTTTGCCACCTATAAATCGCCTTTTCCTGTATTAAAAATAGCTTTTACTACTTTATTAACAATCAGCAATAAATTTTTATACTTTCTTTTTGAGTTGTAAACGCCATCATTCTAGGTTACTTCTTAAAGCATTCTAATTCAATATTTATCAATTTTTAAAGCACTTATAAGAGTATTTTGATGTAAGAATCATCATCATAACCAAAACAGGTAAAAATGTTTATAGTGTAGTTATAGTGTATGTTGTGGGGTCGATATGGATGTGAAACAAAATCTTTTCTACTTTTGTGGACACAATTCTAACCTAACCAAGCATAGTCTTTAGTGAACTGCCCTTGTGACACCTTAACTGTAATGAGGGCTACTCACCATCATGCTGCTTGATCAAGCTGAATGACAAGAAATTTTAGAAGGACACGCCACTTGAGTGAAGGATATTGGCTTGATCAAGCAATATGATGGTGAATAGCCACCATTACAGTAATAAAATACTTTAAGTTTATTTCATAAACACAACCTTAATAAAATGGCTAAAAGCTTGCTTGCTTAATAGATTTTGCTTTTCAATGTTTATGTGACCTTCACAGTCATAATTAACTTCATTTTTAGCTTATTCTGTAAATATACATTTTAAAATCATGTTTTCTTTCAAAGAGGTATCCACACAATTGTCACTCATCGATGTTCTGTTGAGCGACTTTGACAAGACGGTTACACCATGCGCTAGTAAAAAGAATGAGAAAAAAGAAGAAGAAGCCCAGGATGCAATGCCAGACTCAACGACCAACACGGAAAAAAATAATGCAAACCCATTCCATTGTGGGGATGATGTACTTGTTTCTAATAAAGATGGTCGTTATTATTTAGGTTAGTTACTTAATAATTCACACCTAATAGAAATATACCACTATATGACATTGCTTAATTTGTAAGAATCCAAATAATAAATAGGTACTATTATTATTTCATAATATATAAAATGTTGAAACATAATTACACATAAAATAATAACTATAAACTGCACTATAATTAACACAGTACCAATGTATTTATTTCACATTAGATAATACATATGTTAAACATTTTAGTTTTACTTTCATTATGAAGTAGTAGTTAGTATTGTTTACATCGTCAAGAAATGGTTCCTTTTTGTTTTTTAAATTGAAATTAAAGTGAACTATTCCAAATTGGGAGATCTTTAACCTTTGATGTATAGTCTCTGTATCCTATCACTCAGATATGAAATCTCACAATACAGTGCAGTTTCTTGATTATTGTTTTTTAAAAAACTCAATCAAAATCTCAAAAATATGTTGTAAGAGCTCCACCAGAATAGGTTCTAGAAAAATCATAAGTTTTATATTGTGTTCAGAATTTTAATTTTATTTTCAATTTGAATGACCTTATTAACATTATGACACCTACTTACAAAATGGCCCATTGTTTTGACAGGGACAATAGTAGAATTGAGCACTAGCAATGACAATGACTTATGCGAAGTGGGCACGGGCGTGGCCCGTTGTCTCATTAAGTTTGGCGATGGCACACACTCGTGGGCGCCGGTATCCTCCCTGAAGTTGCTGAGCGCGCCGCCTGCAGACGACGGCCGCATCATGTGCGTGGTCTGTAAGCGGCGCGAAGGTCCCGCGGCGAGTCCAGCTACTAACGCGATTATAGCGTGTGATATGTGCGGAAGGGGATACCACGCCAAATGCCACTCCCCACCTGTAGAGTCCTGGATTACTGGTGAGTTACGATTACGACCTGATTGTATGCACGGAATTTTACAACTTTTTTTATCATGCAGCCTTCCGTTTGCATCTTCTCTCATCATGCAGTCTTCCCTAAGAACACAGACCCAATGTGGATTGGTGGGTACTAACGACTGCAAATGCAGCTAGCACTAAGGCTTGTGCCTTCCGAAGTACAGAGAAGCTTGATATAAGACATTTTCAGTCACCCATCCATAACTGGCCATTGCGAGTCTTTATCATCAGCCTATTGATTTTCCCCGTGTATAGAATAGAATCACAGGAAGACCCGCCTAATGGTTCAGTTTATAATGTTTCAGATAGAAATGCAATGTATGAAGGCATTCTGAGTTTTACTTAGTCCGTTATACCAAACTGAACGCGCTATACTCTTAAACGATCTGTCTACAGTTCATTATTGTTAAGCGTTAATCATCAAGCTATTTAAATCGCAGGTCAAAGCTAAACCATGAACAAAGTTAAGTATCCAATTATAAGCTATGTATGACAACAGCAGCTGCTATAGGCTTTGTCACCTTATAGCATAAAATATATACTCGGTGACATAGTTGCATGCAATCTCCACGGATGAGAGAATCGTGATGGGCTCGCCCACCGATCCACCAAATTTGATACAAGCTCTTTGGGCCAATCTCCACAGGGCGATACTATCCGACGATCCGAGGAGTGATTCTGGACGAGCACAACGTCACGGATTCCTTTTTTGATCCGGGGCGTTACTACGACTGGCTCGCCGGTCGCATGGCATTCTGATTAGATAGTCGCGTCGCGGCGCGATACGTTGGTAAAGTGTAATTCAAACTTTATGGCGGTTTCGAAGTTACTATAGAAGCGAACGCAACTATGCTCAGGTTTAAGTTCAGTGACATCCCCCGCGCACCTGCATCACTCTACCTTTATTTTATTGCACTGCGACTTGCGCTAACGTCACGGTCGCCATTAAGTTTGAATCGCACTTTAGGAATGTTATTGATTGTACCGTGCAGATTATCTGATGATAATAGAACAAACTCGTTGCAATTCTCTTGCGCGATGAGATGCCACCTAAGCTCTGTAGTTCAAGTATAGGTAACGGCAAACTTCTTGAGCAAAACCACAGACAAATAGTCTTGCGAAGTAGACATTTTTGTATGCAAAATTGCTGGCTTCCTTGTCTATGACGCGGCAGAATCCCTAAACGGGGATCCCGCAATTTCGCACTTAGCAGCTTAGAGGGTATTCGCAGAGTTTTTAGCGGATATTATGCCCTAAAGCGCCCGTAACGTAAGCTAACGGGAGCCAGGTGTGATGTCCGTTCGGCGGCGTTGCCTCTGAATAGCTGTTTACCTGCGTCAAAAAAGGCTTCCTTGTCTATGGCCGTTGCTCAAGAAGTTTGCCGGGGCGTTTGAGAGATCTTAACTTCGTCTCTCTTCACTCCTAATGTGGCCTGCTCTCAATGTGGTGAATTTTTTCAGGTGCGTCATGGCATTGCAAAAGATGTGTGGATCAAAGGTATAGGGTGGCGGCTGCCGAGAATCGGGCACTGAAGCGATCAGATCTGTTTAGATTTAAGGGAGGTCAACAGAGGAGGCAGCAACAGGAATTAACTCCTCCCTGTGATGTAGGTTTATTTACGTTCCAATATAAAACTTGTATACTTACACCTTTGCAAAATAAACGTGGCACCTAAATAAATTTTTGTTCTGAGGCCAATTTCATTTAATGTTATTGAATTCATTTGTTTGACATAGTCTTTGTACTTATAATATTTCAAATGATTTTTCTTATTTTAAATGAATAGTACTTGAATTACGGTAATTTATTGCATTTCAATCGCAATTTTTTTTTCTTTATCATATGTACTGAAACCTCATTTCCAGACTGCCTCCACCACATCATCAACAGCATCGGAAGCTGGCAAAGATCAGAATGAGAATCACTGTTATTGTGGGGAGAAAAGTGACTGGCTGGCCCAGGTAGTATCGCTTTACCGTTCCTCTCACCCAGGCGACCGGGACGGAATCCCATACTTATGTGGAATGGAATACTTTCAGATGTTGTTGTGCTGTCGATGTACACGTTGGTTCCACCAAAGATGTGTATCCAGTTTGCAGTACCCATTGTATGCTGGTGATAAGTAAGTTTAAAAGTTCAAATATTGAAGTTATTCTTTACATTACTTTATTAAATTAATTCGTTCAGGGTATATATGTATATGCTAGCTCACTGAATACGACTGCAGTCAAATAGTCGAAGCATCAAAGAGTGCCACCTGGGTGTCAAATATTTATTTATTTTGTGTGTGCTTGTTGACTAACATTAGCGATTAAGAATAATCTGTTTGTTACTAACCCACTAGTGATCCATTGTTATCTAAAATAAATACATAATTACTATTTGCGAATAAAATCTTACTAAAATAATAATTTTACAATGTCCATGTATTACACTGGATTCGGAGCATCGCCTCTCGCTGTCAGGGCTAATGCACTGTTCGTTATGCTACCGGAACCGTAATCAGACCTCCGTCAGTCGCGCAACGCAGCGTCATAAATCGTAGCGTAGCATAGGTCCGAGCTGCAGCGTGCGGGACTGCATAGGGGCCAATCGCCTTACGGGGTTGCTATGGCTATCGCTATCGATTTCTTTTTGTTATTTCAGACCGCCTGATGTTTTCAAAGGCGTCACGCACATTTTATTTAATTGTTTGAAACTTTCATGGTCACTAACATTATAACTATTAACGGGATTGTTACCATGTACATTGTTTTTTTATGAGTCTCCGATATTTCGGCACTTTTGCAAGCGCCATGATCACGGAGTAACTCCGTTAATAGTTATAATATAATTTTATTTAATATTTTTATTATAAATGCAAAAACGAGCGAGCCTTAAGCCCACCATTCACTACACGCACCGCGAGCCGAACCCCGAGCCGTACCCATCCGTGGACAAATCCGTCATTGCCCACACACTACACGAGCGTCGAGTTGCAGTCCAGTCGCTTGTGTACTTTGGTGAGCCTCGCGCGTATCGTTCTTCCCTGTATGGATAAATTCTTGCCAAAACTCTTTATGATCGCCGAACGACATGTTATTATACTCGTTCATGATACAAACAACACAACTGCAGGCCAATTATGCTCGCTAATTGTGATATTGTTTTGATGTCAATTTCACATTACTCATTACGCTCTCCGAAAAATGCGATATCAAAATGACATCAACTTTAAAATGATATCAACTTAAATGCGTATTACGTTCAACTTTTTGACATAAAACAGTATCGCATAAACGTCAAAAATGTGATACAGACTTAACAAGTTAGGAGGTGGTTTTTCTGTATCAAATTCCTTTTTTTTTAATAAAAAAGAGTAAAATGGCTCGTTTCGGGTTAGTAATGGACTATTTAGAACGAGCTCATGCCGAGGACATGATAGAGATAAACCCCTTGTAGAAGAGATACAATTAGCTCTTTATGTTCGCTAATTGTGATATTGTTTTGATGTCAATTTCACATTACGTATTATGCTCTCCGAAAAATGCGATATCAAAATGACATCAAATTAAGCGTATTATGATCTACTCTTTAAAATGACATTAACTTGATATCAACTTAAATGAGTATTATGTTCAACTTTTTGACTTAAAACATTATCGCATAAACGTCAAAAAAGTGATACAGACGTGATACAGAATTAACAATTTAAGAGGTCGTTCTGCGTGCACGCACTACAAATGACTGACAAGTTCGCCGACAAATCTGTGCAAGCACACACACGTACGGATTTGTACGGCGCGGCTGGGGTGCGGCGCGGCGCTCGCGTCTCTCGACGGCGAGCGCCGCGCCGAGCCGCGAGCCGCACTCACCAATACATTCACACGCGGATTTGTCCGCGGACTTGTCGCCAGCGACAAATCCGGCGGATTGGCGCGCCCGTGAATGGTAGGCTTTACAGTAGTTGCGTATGATGTGTAACATTTGGAACCTCACCTTATATTATTAAAAAAGAAATAAAACCTACTACAAAAGGAATAAGCCATTTAAACATTATGTTCTAAAATCAAATAAAATAGTGCGCACTTTCGCATTTCACGAAATCACTCCCACAAATTGCAGGAAAACGAGAGGAAAGATGTTACACATCAAAAAAGGGCGCAAAGCATTTGAAAACATTCGACGGTCAGAAATAACAAATTCATTTTGTTAGCGATAGCGATAGTCACAGCAAACTCGTTAGGCGATTGGCCCCCAGTGTACCGCAACACCACACGCACCCCGATCCACATTGCTAAGACCGCAGTCCCAGCAATGCGGATCGGGTGACCTGGTGCAGGGCCCTGTACTCTTCAGCTGGCCTCAAGGATGAACTGCAATGGACAGGGAGGAGTCCCACATACCTTCTTCTTGCTCCCCCAGTGGTTGAAGGATGCGTAAGGCAATTCCCAGACCCAAAAAAAAAGTTCGAGCTGCAGCGGGTCGCCACACACGAACGCACGCACGAGGCAAAGCTCATACGGCACGTTTCCCGCGTAAACCGACAAAAGGATGTTTATTTATATTTCTAAATAAAATATACTTATATAATATGTATTATATCCGTTAGCCTAGCATCCCAAAACACAAGCCTTAAAGTGCTTACTTTGGGGATAGGCTAATTAATGTGAAAGTGTAGGAAATATTTATTTCTTATTTATTTATTTTACGTATTTATTAATAATTACTTTATAATTAGCGAAACTCGCGCTAATTTGAATTGAAAATGTGGTATTTGTAAGGTTAAAGCGACTTCGCTTTAACAAGTTAATGCATTATCTTGTTGCATGCGACATGCTAATAGCGTCTATAGTCTATACACCATCCAACTAAGTTGGGTCGAACTGCCTGTTTTCCTTCAAAAACATTAATGTCGTTAGCTGTCAAAGATAATAACGATAGGGATAAAAATCGGCCATTTCATAAAACTGAACACATTCACATCACATTTAAGTCAGCTGCTTTCTTACGTTAACTTAATTGCTATTGGTCAGTTTCATCTTGTATAACGATCTTTGCTCGATGACGTGCACGCGGGAATCTCAATTCTCAGCGCGCGGTAGTAGTTTATTTTTACAGAGATTTTTAAAAAGACTAAGGCTAATACGACGTCGTAGGTCTCTTAACTTTTGTGTAGTAGTGATGTATCTGTCCTAATCTGTGCCTTGATGGTCAATTCATACTACCGCAGAGTCGAATCGCATCGGAGCGTCATTCAGAAACGTACGTCGTAGCAAACAAACCCTTATCTAAGCAACGTAATGCACTTGTTCCTTCTGAGCTGATAATCAGAGTTGGTCGCGCGCAGACTCGCTAATTTCGTCGAATGCGCGCGAATTCGCGTACCTTACTTTTATCTCAATCTCAGAAGGAATATATTCATTACGTTGTGAAGATAGGGTGAATTTGCTTTGTAACGTTTCTGTTTATTTATTTAATCTTAAATGCCTTTACATTGAATATGGCGGACTTAATGCCAGCATGGCATTCTCTACCAGTCAACCGGAAAGAACGTGCAGAGTCAATAAAACGTTTAATGCATCGATGCGCTTTGACTATGGTGGTATTAATTGACAATGATGGATATATCTATTTGCTGGATTCGCTAGGATTACTAACCGCTAGCTATATTTCCGTTCAGATTGTACATATTCGCGTGCGCGGAATGCAACGGCGGCAACGAATACTTGAGGCGTTTGGAACTATGTTGGTTGGAGTTGGCTCATTTAGCGCTATACAATCTGACCGCTTACAACGCACCCAATTACTTCGACCTGGACAGCGTCATCATGCCCTACATTATGGACAACTGGCATGCGTTACAACTGCCCGAGAAGGTGAGTCCATTGATCACATTACTTTGGGATTAGAAGAAAAGTTTGATATAATAGATCACCCCACACCAATCCGTCGGCTTGGTGAAAAAGGGCACTGACCGCTTACAACGCGCCCAACTACTTCGACGTGAACAGCTTCATCATGCTCTATATTATGGAGAACTGGCATGCGTTACAACTGCCCGAGAAGGTGAGTCCATTGATCACAATACTTAGGGATTAGAAGAAAAAATAGATATAATAGATCATCCCACACCAAACCGTCGGCTTGGTAAAATAGGGCACTGACCCTTTCCAACGCGTCCAACTACTTCGACGTGGACAGCTTCATCATGCCTTACATTATGGAGAACTGGCATGCGTTAAAGTTGCTTAACTTCAACGATCGCAGCCGAACGCGCTAACCGCCTGCGCTATCGAGCTCCTCAGTAAATATATAGAGTAGGTATCTATCAGTTGATTAATCCCCCTAATGATATGCGGCGAGGTTGTAAATAGCATGGTAGCGTGAGTAATTAAAAGAGCAAAGTTCATATTTTTGATTTGTATTTGAACCTTATATATAAAAAGTTTTGATTAAATTTATTTACGAAATTAAAAAAAAAACATGTCTCCGAGCCCGAATCGAAAAAAAAAACAAAATGAGCTCAAAATGTAAATATGTAGCTAGTTTTAAACAGAGAGTCCTCAATTAGCTTCCAGAGCAGTGTTGCCAACTCTACGTCTTTTTACGTAGATCTACGTATTTTAGGCCTTTTCTGCAAACCTACTAACTTCAGTCCCAGAATCTACGTATTTTCTTTTAATTTCTACAAATTTTCAAAATAACATAACTCCTGTGCATAACTCACTAGAATAAAGAAGCATATTTTCCGTTATTTACTTAAGAACTATACAAATGTTTATATCTTATAATTTTTTTGGTATGAGGAACCTAAATACACCGATTTTACTTCATAAAATTGGAAGATGGCTGTAGTAATTTAATTTGAAAATCGATTTTAGTCATACTTTTTAAACACTGAAAACGCTGTCCACCATCATTGTGACGTCACAAAATTTGTCAACAACTAAATGTCATTGTCGTGTTACTGTGGTTTCTTCGTTGGACTAAAATATATCTAAAAACTCTTATATCTTGTAGAAAAGTTTCCGTTAATTGGTGTTTTTGACTAAATTAATGCTGGACGCCGGATTTGTAAAAGCAGAAACGACAAAACTCTTTAACGTAGTAAGTAATAGTAACTTAGTAGTAATTTATGAATGTAGGTACCACATTCATAAATTTAAAAATTGTATTTAAAACTTTAAATATTATTCAATGAGTACATACATCGATGTGATCTTTGCAAGAAGAAATGAGGTTCAGTCGATAAAGTTACAGGATTTAGCAAGTTTCAAACATGTGTTCATGTGTAGGTATGTTTATTTCTCTAGGTAATTTAAACCACAACTTTTCTGGAGTCTTTAACGATGTGTCGTCGTCTAACTCTCGTATATTACAATCATGATAATGATTACTATACAGGATGGTCCAATTAGTGACGTCAACATTTTTTTTTTAGATTCCTTGCACCTGGTGGTATCCGAATATACCCCATGTATGTTTCGCGATTTTTCTTAGTTTTCGAGTTATTTTTTTTTTTGTGTATTTTTAATGATTTCTGCCAGCGAGGTTTCAAAAATTGATATCTGTTTTATTGATAGTTTGCAGTCTTTTTTTTATGTTGTTTTAATAAAAATAATAACTCAGCTTCCTGAAATTACTTAAAGTTACTCAAAAAAGGCTTGAAAGTTGGGACTTTAGGTTTTAGTAGGATTTACTCAAACATTCAACTTCAATTTAAAAATACAAAAAGGAGTTTCCATAGCTAAAATTAAAAACTCCGCAAGCTTCTAAACTCCCAAAAATCATGAAAAAAAATTGTTCTTAATTTATTTTGTTGTATGGGCCTTCGAAGGCGGATAGGCTAAAAATCATTGAAACACGATTAAAGCATTAAAAAAAAACTACTTTTTATCATTGTTATGGTAAATTACACTTAAAAATGTAATTTCAACTTAAATTTAATTGAAATTCCTGTAAAATAACTTTAGCATGTGGAATTTTATAATAATTTCGGTTTCACCACTAAGATTTAAACTTCTTCATTTCACTCGGAAAAAAGTACGTAGATCTACGAACTTTTCATATGCAAATTTTACTAATTCTACGTAATTTTCTCATCGGGCCTACGCCTTTTTCAAAATCTGAGTTGGCAACACTGTTCCAGAGTCCAACAGGGCTAAAAAGTCAATATTGCAATGAACCCTCCTCGTTAATGAAAATTTACTTCACCAGTTGGTGTCACTGTAATGTGAAGTCCTTTGTATGAAATTTTTGGCGCGATTCATCGATCAATTTGAAAAACAAAATATCCGTCTTATGTCTCTTTTCTCTCGCTCGTTCACTTTCTCTTCAAACAGACGTGATTTCCGGGTGCTTACTTTAACCTCACAATTTGTTTAGATGTGGCGGATACCAGCCTAACTCTCGCTCGCTCTCTTCCTCTCTCCCTTTTTTCTTCATACAGACTGATTTCCAGCTATATATATATAGTAACAATGAATTTTAAAGTTAACTTTATATTTAGTATATAGGAAGCGGCATTAGATAGGAACCATATTACTGTTATAATAGGGGATTTGGGGATTTACTCGAGCGCTGCAGATTAATATATGGAAAATACCTTACATCTAGTTGAGTACCTCTAACAAATCTGAGTTCTCCATGTAGAGCCGCGCCCGTAGACCAGCCGATCAGAACAGTAAAAAAATCGATAGGCGGAAATACTCGAGCGCATTAGATTAAGGTATGGTGGTTAAAGTACATGCTGAAAAGTGTGTATTTCAATAATCTGACGATTTGAGGTAAGGGAGAAGGAGGGTTGCAAAGTTGCAAATAAAAAAACGATGTCTGGACATTCTCGAGCGCGTTTGATATTTTTTTAATTCAAGGATCATGGAAAACATATAATCTGCCGATTTGGACAAGCCAAAGTAACAAAAATCGTTATAAAGTGTTGCACGTGCAGCTCCAGCGAAGCATGTATTTCATACTACGCTCCTCTCTCTATCTTCCACTCTCTCGCACCGTCCCCACATTACTTTCTGTCTACCATTACGCTTCCACAGCTAATCACAGCGCTCGTGAACCTCGTGGTATTATATGTACGCTCTGGTTTGTTTGTTTTATTTGAAATTTTGTGAGTTTGATATTTACTATCACGAAGATGAGTGTCATTATTATAAAGTGTGTGTTTTGTGGACATAATACATGTCAAAGATTGTGATTGACACTTAATTGGGACATGCTTTATTTCAATAAATATGTATTTTATGATATTTTTTTTCATAGCAAATATATTCTTGTATTATAAAATCTTCACTCTATTTCATGGTGGAGGTCATGAACAATACAATGTTTTGTTGCATTATTACTTATTTATGAATATTAAAAAAAGAATTTTCTGCAAATGTCCCACCTTAGGCATCAAACTCGGTTTTGTCCGAGTATAGAGTACTCCACCTTATCTTCTGTGAGCTTACCAGAGACTGGAAAGTAACACTTTTGTTTTTATTTATAATTTATTTATCTTTTTTTTAACATTTCTGTGAATACGTGAATAAAATTTTTCGCCAAATTTTCGCACGAACCGCTGAAGCAAATGAGCTGATTTTTTTACAATTAGTGTATCTTGGTCTATTTTAACCCTGATTAGATTTTCAGCTTATTTTAAATTTCATGCTATTCTCTATTAATTTTATTTATCACATTCAATGATTTGAAAAAAATCACGGAGAAAAATTTCTTTAACAAAATCTTCTTCGTTTAGGCTCACTTAACATCCCCTCTGAATATCTGACGCGCCCGAGTAAATTTTTTTTCTCCCCATTTTCAATCCATCCGTACGGCTAGTCCCACCATGCAAACCGGCAGATTAACATTTGAGACACAAGGGGCATATACAATATCAATATCTGACGCGCTCGAGTATTTCCATGTGACTATTTTTTTTACATTTTTGAAAGCTTCTAGATGCTTGTTCCACCGGTGAAAGTTAAAAACATTTAACCTTTTTTTTTCTACTATCTGATGCTCAAAATTCAATAGGTCTCCACGACGCTCGAGTAAATCCCCATTTAGCATCGTGGGCTCCCCTACTATTATGAAAAGTGACTAATACCCATCAGTTAACAAATTACAGAAAACTCTATTTCCATGCATTACGATCATTTAGATAATCATTAACTTTATAGCCCTTATTCATAAGAGTATTTGACTTGATCTGAGATTTAACTTTGGTCAGTGGAAGCTCAATCAGATCTAGGGGAACTTTATTAAACAATGCAATACTACAACCCAGAAATGAATCTCTTGTTTTGTGAGAGATCTTAACGAGATGTGGCGTACACCCGTGAACGAGCGGCACTCGTTTTTCTCTCCCTTTCTTTCCAAGCACTGTTTTCCAGCTGCTTACTTTGACCTCGCAATTTGTTAATGTCAGATGTGGCGGACACCCGTGAACGAGCGGTGGGAGGAGATCCAGCTATATCTCTTTCTCTCCTTTTCTTTCCAATTACTGATTTCCAACTGCTTACTTTAACCTCGCAATTTGTTAACATCACATGTGGCGGACACCCGTGAACGAGCGGTGCGAGGAGATCCAGCTTATATCTCTTTCTCTCTCCCTTTCTCTCCAAGCACTGATTTCCAACTGCTTACTTTAACCTCGCAATGTGTTAACATCAGATGTGGCCGACACCCGTGAACGAGCGGCGCGAGGAGATCCAGCTTATATCTCTCTCTCTCTCTTCCTTTCTCTCCAAGCACTGATTTCCAGCTGCTTACTTTAACCTCGCAATTTGTTAACATCAGATGTGGCGGACACCCGTGAACGAGCGGCGCGAGAAGATTCTAACAGCGTTGACGTCCTCTCGTAAGCGATTCAAGTGCGGCCGAGAGATGAAGAAACGAGCCACCATATGGGGGCTGCGGTTACGTCGACCGCCCCCAACACCCTTACAACTATCAGCTTTGGAACAGGTAAAATTATCATCACAAACATTGCGAAATCTAAAGAAACCTATTTCCGAGAATTTTGTATAGAAACAAGCTGTCCCAGCGAATTTCGTACCGCCATAAAAAATAGGGGTTGGTGGTAGAAGGGTGAAAAAAACAGGGTTGTATGTATTTTTGTATGATGTATCATAAAAAAAATAAAAATAAATAGTTTATCCACAAACAAAAAATTTAAGGGTATACCACCCTTAACATTAAGGGGAAAAAAATTGATGTTGTCCGATTCTCAGACCTACTGAATATGCATATAAAATTTCACGAAAATCGGTCTAGCCGTTTCGTAGTAGTTCAATTACGCACACCGGGACACGAGAATTTTATATACTTATTAGATAACTTGTTGGACTTGAAGGAGCCGCGGATTACTTTTATGGTCTTCACCGAAGCGAAAAGGTAAAAATAATTTTAAGGATAGACTATAATTAAACTAAGCTAGTTCAGCACTAAACCGAGGTATAAGGTTGATAGTATAGGCGCCGTTATAGCTAATGATTGTCGTTTGTTGTAATGACACCACTTTCGATGTCGTTTGTTATAATGATTCATCAAAAATATTACTTATGATTAATTACATACAAACATTCGAGAGGTGAGAAAGCAGTTCTCTTTCCATAATATAATTGTAATTACATGTTTTTATTACGATTTTGGACATCAGAATCTCCATCTTCTGTTTAGCCTATACTTTGTTATACTAAAAACCAGCGAATCAACTTGTCTTCTCATCCCTATAATGGAAATTGATTGTTATATATAGGTTGTCATAAATTGACAAGAATTGGCACCAATATAGCTGTATAAATTTACATCAATATTTATATTTTTTTAGTCATAGTGTATTTTTGTCGTTTAGATAAAGAAACGAGAGCCCTTGACTGATGAATTGGTAAGAACATATGCGCCGAAACTTCGTTTTCTGCCCCGCCCGCCGACGCCGCCCACTCAATCCGTCGTAGATGACAGGTATTTACTTAATATTTAATTATATGTTTATATTTAGTTTTCGAGGAATTCGATGGCGCAGGTGGTTAGTGCGTTCGGCTGCGATCGTTGTAGTTAAGCAACTTTAGCAGTGGTCGGTAATTGGATGGGCGACCAAAATCTTCTATGTCGAGTTCCTCCGTGCTTCGGAAGGCACGTTAAGCCGTTGGTCCCTGCTGTATCTGCAGTCGTTAGCACCCGCCAATCCGCACTGGGCCCGCGTGGTGGGTCATGGCCCAATCTCCCTATTCCATCCATAGGGAAGGACTGTGCCCCAGCAGCGGGGACATTAATAGGCTGATGATGATGATAATGTTTACATAGAGAATCTTGTTATAACTTCTGTACCGCAAAATAATGTCTAATGAATACTTAATTTATTGACTATACCAACTAATAAAAGTGTAAAAACAATATCTTATTGAGATCCAAATTAAATTTAACACTATGTATAAATAGCTTAGAAGCTATCCATAAAGTACGTCACACGTTAATAGGGAGGGAGGGGTTGACGAAGTGTGACAAGGGGTGGGAGGGGTCCTAAGTTTCGTGACGTCACATTTCAAAACCTATTACCTACTTTTGAACTATTATCAAAAATCTTCAAAATATGTAGATCTCTGTGTAACTGTATGGGGTTTCATTTGTTATTGGCTAATTTTCGGAACTGCTCTATTAATAATATTTTCAAACTAGCAAAATATGTGACGTCTCACTAGGGTGGGAGAGGGGGGGGGGGGCACAAATGTGACCAACTGTGACAAGACGGGGGAGGGGCAAAAAAACTCGAAATTAGTGTGACGTATTTTATGGATGACCCATTATTCTCATTAACTAACAACTTACTGATTAACTAACATTAGTTGAAAAGACGATTTTGCTTTTTTTACAGTTTACAACCTTCTAGCAGTAACACAGATAAAAGTTCCTATAAAAGTCATAATCAACGTATGATAGTACCGGTCGATGGTCATTGGCTCAATTTGATGATGGGCAAACGGTTTCATGAAAATCTCAACTCTAATTCCAACTCGGAGAACGATTCTACTAGTTCCTATGAATCTGTCAAACCTACCGAAAACGAGGAGCAACGCTCTCCAACATTATGTACTTCATCTACTAGAAAATCCGATGCCAAAGAAATAGAAAGTATAACCAATATAAATGAAACTGAAACGAACGAAGCTAAATCCACCTGTGAAAACCCTTCAGTGCCATTACTAAACACGTCCCTAGTTCCATGTACTATAAAGTTAGACAATATATCCAAAGATGATGACGATAAAACGAGCATTAACCAGATCAATACTAGCAATTTCAATGTAAATACCCATACGACAAGGATAGCCACTATGAACCTAGAAGTATCTAAGTTATCTACTAAGAATATTATTGAACATTCCAAAATAATGTCTTTGCAACATATGGACAGATTGCCGCCTTGCAGCAACTTCTATGACATGGAATCATCGGGAGATGAAACCTCTAGTAGAGGCACGCTAGATGCCATTATACCACCGCTTAAAGACTTTCAAGGTAAAAATAATCCGTTTCTAATGCAAAATACATATCCATCGAAGAATTTTACGTCTAACTTAATTACATGTAGTAAAAATAATAAGCTGAATGGAAAACAATTATTCCATTCGCGATTGTCGCTACCGGTACAGTTAAACCCAATGATGGGACCTCTGGTTCGACCAATGAAGCGAAAGCTTAGCGAAAAAGATATTGTTATATTACCTAATGGAGAGGTGAAGAGAAGGAAGTACAGGAGGCCTAGAAAATATTTACAAATGCAGGTAATTTCAGATAATTTCTTTTACATTTGCTATAACATCGTTTTAGTCATATTAACCTCGTATCTAATGCCCATAACGAAGGCTAGGTAAAAAAATATAAAAGCGCTTATGTATTTTCATGAGGTTAAGAGTGGACAAGTTTAATGGCTCATATTTGAAATCTTAATATACCTTATAAAGAAGACGTTATAAATCTGACAAAATTGTGTCAGTTCGAGCGTGATTCTCTAAACCTAAACTTAAATTTGACAACAATGTATCCTTGTCATTCTCTATACAGAATGTTGTGTAAGTTTAGATAATACTGCCAGAATCAACACCAATATTATGTAAAATATCCTAATTTATTTAAATTAATTTTCAGTTAAACAAATCGTGTCCGCTTCCCGACGACACAACCAAGTCGGCGCAAACACAAAACGAAAACGTTGAAATAGCCCCGCCGACTGCTCACACCAACGTCAAGTTCCACGGAAGAAGACTGAGACAGAGGCAAGAGAAGAACTACTACGAGAACGCGCGTCGAAACACGAACAGTAGCGCGAACAACAATAACAGCGTTAAAAGTCTCCAACTGAGTCCCCATAAGGGGAATACTAGTGTGGCGGAAGTGGATGCTGAACAACTCTCGGCCTTAAAGTCGAGTGTGCAGTCTTATTTCAGAGCGGGACAAACGTTCCGCTTGCTGGCTCGCCGTCTCGCTCCGAATACGCCCCCTGCATACCTAATTGAGTGGGACTCCAACGCCTCTTAGGGAAAACGGCCGTTAATGAATTTATTTAAACTATACATAAATATACATGTAATGTAATAATAATATATATAAGTGCTTGTCTGTAGTCGTAACTTAATTTAGTTGTACAGATCGAGGAATGTGATATATTATAATTCCAACTGGATTATGTTGTTTTATTTCTTTTTTTTTCATTCCATAGGCTTTTTGACAGTGAGAAAAATAAAGTAGCAATTGTTGGCATCTGTATTCAATATCAATAAATATAAATAAATAACTATTGCCAACACTCACACCAATTAGCCTAGCCCCAAAGTAAGCACTGTATAAGGCTTGTGTTATGGGATGCTAGGTAAACGGATAAAATACATAAACTGTACTTAAATAAGTATATTTATATAGAAATACATATTAAACATCCATGACTGGAGTACAAATGCTCGTATTCATCACACAAACATCTGCCCCCACCGAGATTCGAACCCGGGACCTCTCGAGTCGGCGACACCATGTAACCCGGCGTACGAACCACTCGACCACGGAAGTCGTCAAGTAGTAGCGCAGCGATTTTATTATTCTGAGAGAACAAATAATTGATAAATTCTACTAATATCATAACTGCGAAAGTTTCTATGTTTATTACACAATTACGCAAAAATGGGTGAAATTTTGGTACACAAATAGTTCATGACTAGCCCCTCTAGCATGATCACCGAAACGGGATATAATAAAGCGATATATCGAGGCTCAACTGTCAAACTCCACTGTAGTCTGACAGTTAATGCCGATATATCGCTTTATCATATAGCGTTTCGGTGGTCATGCTAGAGGGCCTGGAATAAGAATAGAAACATGCCAGTCCTGATAGATTGGTTACTTAAGTGTGTTATCATCGGAACAAGGGTATTCTTGAAATGCTTAATAAACGAAGATGAGATATCATCCCACCCAACCGCACATTTGCTTTTTAGTGAAATGATGAAACAATCGACCTCTTTAGTAGTGGTTTCAAGGAGGACAAATGACAAACGATGTTTTGATAGAAGATTAGCAAGGGAGATCAGCCAATCTCTGATTTTTGGTATTGCTTTTAAGTATTATTATACTATACACCCCTACTAAAAATGCATTTAAGCATCATGTGCACTACAGTCATTGAAGCATTATTGCTCCGAATTTTTTTACTGTGAACCGAATTGCATACAATTTTGGAATAAGGTTCATCTTACCCTTAACTTCAAAAGTGAAAATGATTTGAACTCCGCAACCACCCTGGGGGTGGTTGCCACCCCTTCTCGGGGGTGATTTTTTTTTTCAAAATAGCCTCGGCTATCGATAGAAGGCCTAATTTTAAGCAAAAAATCATCTATATAGTTTTTCAAAAAATCCAATACTTTTCAAGTTATTGGCAATTGGAAATTCGCAATTTTTTCACGTTTTTCATCGGTTTTTTGCAAATATCTCCAAAAATATACGTTTTATCGAAAATTTTATAAAGAACAAAATTGTAGCAGGTAAAACAATGAACGATTTGGTTTTTCATAAAGTATTCTAAGTGCAATATTAAGCTAGATATTAAAGATCAAAGCCGTTTTTTATTTTGTCTGAAATTTAATCGATGTGGTCAATGCCATCTAGCGGCGAGCAGATGCATTTTATGCATTCTAATGCAAAAGGGTTTTGTAGTGCTTGAAATAAGCTTTAAAATGAGCACTATTAAAAGTCTTTTGCACGTAAAATAAGTGAGCTGTATTGCAAATAAGGGGAGCATCTAATGTTTTTTCTTTTAATTCAATGGGTTACATAAATGCCATTTTCACCAAAATTAAAATTAATCGTATTCCGCCTAAAATTAACTTTATTATGAAGAGTTTGATAGATAGTATCAGTTTGGCTGCTTCAGGACACATATTTTTCAAAAAAGTCACGAATAAAAAAAATACAAAATTTCAAATTTTTAAAAAACCCACTTTTTTCATAATATCTCAAAAATGACGACAGATACGTATAAAAGTGTACGGATTAAAAATTTAGGTATTTTTCTGACAAACAATTTGGTTTTTTTGTTTTTTCTGTAAAACAAAAATTGACGGAGATATGATTGTTTAAAGAGCGCGTGGCAGCGCAATCACCGCCTCTCTTAAGCCCTTTAACCCTTCACCGTTTTAGAAAAAGGTTTTTTACTATATATTGCAATGAAGGATGTTGTAGCTCTCTTAATTACCTTAACAATGGTTTTTTATAAATTGTGATAGCATGAAAATTGAAGGAGTTATTAGTGAATATTTGGAGCAATGTGAAAGTACGCAGTATAATAGAGACCCACAACTATTGTAATGTGTATATATATACATAATATGGCTCATATATTTTGGAAACGTAGGCATGAATACATACCAACTTTCTTATATGTATTGTCATTTACATTTGTAATGGAAAGTGACTTCATGAGTTATCTCATATTGAAGTCATTTTTCAAATTGACGACTCTGTATATAATACAGGGAGAAAAAAACAGCCCTTGCTGAGTTTCTTGCCGGTTCTTCTCAGTACAAGGTCTCCCGCCGTAGATTTGCGAACCGATGGCGTAGCTTTTCGACATTCACAAGTGCTTGTAACAGCCTAGTTTGAATAAACGATATTGAATTTTGAATTTTATATACTATAACACATTTGAGTGAAGGGGCCAACGAAAAAGCCATGTGATCAGCTGTGCGTGCTCCGTTCATTCGTTATAATGTGACCAGTATATTTCCGTCTGCAATGGAATATTATATTATATTTTAATAATAATAGTACATTTTATTCAATAAATGGCAATTTTTTACTCTAAATTAAATTATTTTTAAATGTGTAATCATATATATTTACTGTTTTAATTTAGGGGTAGTTTTAAGGGTAGAAAAGCTTAAGAATATGATAATCATTTTCGAGAGTGTGGAATACTATTTAAATACATATGCAAATCGATTCTTAAGGAGTAAACTCCAAAAAATCAACAAACGGCCATGACTTTTGGTCGCGTCCAAATCTAGCTCTTTTGAATAGGACCTACTAGAGGGTTCACTTCGGAGCGTTCACACACACACGAACAGCGCCACAACGGACGTAACGAGAATTAAGTCTTCCATATAACATTTCTTGACCATTGACGCGTATCGGGATCGAATTGAACTATTCGAATTCGATATAGGTTCATGCTACCTCTTGTGAACGTCTCTCAAGGCGCAGTCGCGAGAATTTATTTATTTTAAAAGGTACATTAAACAGCCGACGGCCAGCAAAAATATGATGGCCGTCGGCTGTTTAACATATATAATAATGTAGGCACAACTGGAATAACATAAGTTACCAAAAAGAACAATAGACTTTGTATTGAACAAATGTTAAGTGATGGAACAAAGGGGGCGAAGAGAATGAAAACGACTGATTTTTACCAAACTAATGTCACTAATAGGGTACGAATTTATTAATATTCATTGTATCTACGTTCAAATAAAATGGAATTAGTAATAAACATATAATAAGTATTATTGAATACACAATAAATATTGAAAAAGAAATAATAGGATACTTGTTATTTATTTATTTGGGGGTGGATGGGACGGGTAAAAGGCTCAACCTTAAATCATTTTCAAAATTCTGTTTTGATCCAAAAAATATGTCTCTAAATTTTATATTGTATAAGTGCTTAGAGCAAAGTATAAGTGTGACACGCGCGTTCGGATAGAACGGTTCCCATATTTTGTACGTAAAATAGTGGAGTGTGATGAGTACGATAATCAGGAACAGAAAGCGAGAAGCCCGCGAGCAGCTCATGGCAATCAAGGCGGCCACGTATCAGACCCCAGAGCAACCCCATATCCAATCATACAGAAAATTTTCTTATCATCTGCATTTAAGATGGTGTTCAAAGTCACTGAGGCAATTAAATATATAAAAGATATATGCATTGTAGAAGAGAGGGCCAAGGTGGGACCCCTGAGGAACTCCCGAAGGAACGTTATTATACTGTGAACGGTAACCTCCCAGCACTACTGCCTAAGATCTATTGGACAAATAAGATATCACCCATTTCAGTAAGTAACTTTGTGTGTAGTTTTACGTGGTTGAGCGTTCCTTGAGAAAAACATTGCTGGGTGTTCTGTTTACCGAAATGTAAGAGAAATAATTGGATAGATCTGTTTAAACACAATTTTCTCTAACAATTATGCAAGGGTATTAGGCGCGCCAGTAGGCGAAGTTAACGCTTCCATTCCATAGCGGTATAAATTACGCCTTACTTAGAATGTTGTTTAGATCTCTGTTCAGTTTAGATATGCTACGACTCACTATCTATCTATAGTTGTAAAAAACCCGTTAGCTACCGTTAATTAACCAAATTTCTGAAAAGCTGGGTAGCTTTTCAGAAATTTGTTTGGTTGGAACTAACCGTTAATAGCCATATTTTATGGGTATAAAATATGGCTATTAACGGTTAGTTCTTCAACTTCGACCTATAAAAATGGTATTGGGCTTATTGCTTTTTTTAAGTCATTTAACGTAAACGTAAAATAATTATCGTATCTAAAATATTAATTATATAAACTAATACATAAAATAATAAACTTGATTGATACAAAATAAACAACTATTAACGTGTAACTTGCAGGGGTGGATGGTAAAGGCTAACGCAGACCGGGACGGCATGGCAAGGGATTTTGCCGTGAGTCAGCGCACACTGGCCGCTTAGATACCGCGGCATTCCAGCACTATGCCACGGCGTGCCGCGGCACGACAAAGCACGCTTCAGCGACTCCTGCTGCCCGATACACTTTTAGTCTTCAGTTGCGTTTGATCGAGTGTTGGTGTGCCTCAGTTTTAAAATGGTAGATTGGGATTTGGTGTTAATATCGATTATTGCAGATGAAGAAGAAGGTGCATAGGCTAATAATAGGGATAGAAGAAGATTTTGGGTTGATAATCTATGGAAAGAAAGGGGAATCAAAGGGTGAATTCCCCTCTTCTCTACCCCCGCCGCCGCACCCCGCAGTATATAAGAAGCATGCCGTTGCCTACCGCAGTATGCCATGGCATCCCGTCACGGGAGCCTGTTGCACGTCTTTTAATGCCATGCGATAAAATCCCTTTCAATGCCGCGGCATCATTTTAAAGCATAGCAATTTATGTTGTATTTCTGTAACAGTACGGTTGAATATCCATTACTAAAAATTTAAATCCCTTGCCATGCCGTCCCGGTCTGCGTAGGCCTTAAGTCAGTCAGTTAAACTCAGTTTTTTGAAGGCAGTTGGTCAGTTTTTTGTTTTCAAAATTTTGTCAGTATTTTCATGAACTCAGTGCCTACCTTTTATTTAAATCTCATTTTTTAGGATTCCGTTGTCATGATAAGGAACCCTTATAGTTTCGTCATGTCCGTCTGTCTGTCTGTCCATCCGAGGTTTTGCTTAGGGACTGTTGAGATCTGTAATTTTGTTGGCAATCAGGCCAACAAAGGATAGAATAAAATTATGAAAAATATTTTTTTAGGGTAGGTCCTCTACATGTAAAGTGGAGATGGTTTTTTCTCATCGTCAATGTCGTAGGACAAATTATTAAATGATACATTTTCATTATGTCAACAGCTATGCTATCGTTACCTTAATGTATCTGCCCGGACAGCGGAAGACGCATGTTCAAGTCCTCAAGTCTTGCCGATTTTTGTTTCCAGTAAAAAAAATTGTTTTTTTTACACCCATCATAGTTAAACTTGACATAAGGGAACATGAAAATTGACACGAGCTGGACCACTTGGGCACGTGTGTTGCTAAGACTATTTTCGATTTAGGGCTCCAATTACGAAATATTAAGCTTTAAAGTGCTAAATTCTGTTCGCGTAGGGAGTCCCCCCCCCCCTTAAAAGCTAAACTGTTACATTAAAAAATCTGAAAAAACCCGTTCATAACGAAAAATGCCGCAAGATTATAATAGTTATTTACAATCATTGACAGTTCGCTCTGGGAGACACTTTCCAAAATTTTGAATTGCTCTTTCTCAGATAATGCTTGGAAGCAGGCCTCACTCCCTGTTCGATTCGGAGGACTAGGTACTCGCAATATTTCAGACATTGCCCCTTCCCACTTTTCTGTCTTCTGCATATGGTACAGCCAAACTCTTTAATAAAATATTATACCCATCACTGGGCGTAGTTGAGTTGGCTCACCTTGCAAAAGCCAGGAATGCCTGGTATAGGGCATACCCGGGAGTTGATACACCATCCTCCTTATTCTCACAGAGGCAATGGGACGAGCCGCTCTGTTTTGTCTTCAGTGATCTTTTAGCATCATCTGAAAGCGCAACTGAGCGTGCTTGCCTTCTTGCGGTCTTTCAGGCAGAGTCCGGTTACTGGCTGCAAACTCTACCTTCAGCAAATATCGGGACCCTGCTTGACAAGAGCACTCTGTCTCTCGCGATATCGCTTAGACTTGGCGTTAAGACAAATCATCCCCATCGTTGTCGTTGCGGTACCCGCGTCGGTGAATAAGAACACCATGGCCTCTCATGCCAAATGAGCGCTGGCCGAGTCTCCCGCCACGCCTGCATCAATGACGTCATCCGCAGAGTTCTTGTCGCTGTCAATGTACCAGCGGCCCTTGAGCCTAACGGCATATTTCGCGGCGATGACAAGACCTGACGGTATGACGCTCATTCCCTGGAAGCAGGGTCGTCCTCTTGTATGGGACGCAACTTGCGTGGATACGCTTGCTCCGTGCCATACAGGTAGTACCTCCATAGCTGCAGGAGCGGCAGGAAAATTATTCGTCTGATTGATACTCTTCTAATGGAACATAATCCATACTGTCATGTTCTTCTTCTCCTTCTTCTTCCTGATGGGTACAAATAATTTGTTCAAAGAGCGATGCATCAGATGTCTCCTCGCATATATCTTAAGAATCCTCTTCTACTGGCGATTGAACATTGGAGCACGATTAGCCTCGAAAACTGATACATAAACAAAACAACCCAACATTTTTACAGCCGCATTTAGCATTACACCCCGTTTTGCAATTGCAAAAATTTGAATTGAGGAGTTTTTCCGGTGCAGGATGGGAGTAAAGTCTTAACTGTTTGTTTCTTAGGTTTTCACGCACATCATTCATTATTATTACAGGCTACGAAACGTCAATAAATAAATAAAGTTTTCGTGCATTAACCCGTAATAAGCTGGTTTTATTTAAGTCTTAACTGGTTCCAATATATTGTCATTTAACTTCCAACCCAAGTCTTCGGGTTTAGTTTATTACCGAGCTATACTTGAAATTGATAATATACCCGAAATAGATGTTGCTGAGCAGAAGCAGAGGTTGGAGGTAGACAAGCTAATTGTACTTGTTTTTTTATGCGTATTTTTGGCTAACGATAAGTATTGAAACTTATCTTCTAAGCAGGTATTTTTTTGGAGTTCCGTAAACGGAAAGAAGAAAGCGAATTCCGCTGGAAAACTCAAAAAAAAAAACGATTTTTGCAACATTTCACCTAGAATATGTTTTTTCCACACGTTGGAGTTGTCGTGGCCATATCGTAGATTTGATCACTTCATGAAATGCTCGAAAATTTCATGAAATGGTCGCATTTCATGAAATGTTTCACTATCTATTGGCCACATCATGATGTGGTTTGGGCAGATCAATGATGAGAAATCGTTTCACGATATGGCCAACTAAACGCGTGGCTACTTCATGAAATGGCAAAAATTATTTGATCATATTGTAAAGTAGTTACATTAATTACCGGTAGAGGCGCTGCAAGCGCTTTGTTTATGTATTTATATGGCGGCCGCTGCCGACAATTTTGTTTCTCACAGTAAAAAAAAGTGCATAATTCGTTATTTAATGAGGAAGAAAGTTAACAAAAGGGTTTTCGACGAAACAAATTAAGGAGAGTAGGGTGACTACGCAAAAGAAATCCATGGACTATTACTGGCTGTCAAAATATGACATTTTGGAAACTGAGGTTGAGGTACAAAGTGCCGATGAGAATCAATGCCGTACAAAGATATACTGTAAAACTGTACTTCCAGGGCCCAAGAGGTGATACTTGAATTTCTTTTGTAGAAAAGGTCTCTTTTAATAGAGTTTTTTTTCTGGCGCTTCGCCGGCCGCTGCCGCGGCACGCTCGCTTTGCTCGCTCGGCTCGCGCGTCATGGTCACAACACTAACCTAACCTAATGTGAAATATTACCGTTTGGGCCCTGGAAAAACAGTTAAGACTACTATTGTAATGTGTACCAAAGTACCTTATTATTTCTAAATATTTGATAGTTTTCTAAATATAAATGTGTAAGTTCTTGACATGTTTGATTTTCAATTTAGGAAAAAAATCTTTAATTTGTTTATTTTTAATCCGTCCGAATGATAGTAAACAAATTTAATCAAATCAAAAGACTTAAATAACAATAAGTAAGTTCTTACATATTCTGGATTTTTAATAAATATTTTATGGACACCCTAATTATACGATCCGGCCAAATGTGGATGACCAAATCGTTAAATGTTGACGATTTAGGCGTTGAGCAGACGACGGGGCGGGGCGGGCATTTTGTCCGCGAAGCAATAAAGACCGCGTCTGCCCGTCGATGTCTGCGGCTGCCCGCGCCGCGTACACAAAGCACACGACGGACAGAGGCGGTCAGTTCAAGACGTTCGTTCTTGTGAATAGTCCATCACTAATAAGCGCGTGACGCGGACTGAGCTGACCGCCCCGCGCCGCCGTCTGCGTTACTGCATATAAACTGGTTTGTATGATCCACGGCGGGCAGCCGCGGACATGCCGCGCCGCCACTGCCCGCCGGTCACCGCGGTCTTTTTGCCCTCTGTGTGCGTTTGAAGTATAGGATTCACTTTGTGCTATTATTCGCGGCGAAATTGACCGGCCCGCCCCGCCCCGTCGTCTGCAAAGTGCCTTAATGATCTGGTCAAATTAAGTTCACCACATCATGAAATGTGACCATTTCATGAAATTCTCGAGCATTTCATGAAGTGATCAAATGTACGATATGGCCACGACAGATTCATGTGGATAATTGACAAATTGTGTGTAATAGGGTTCCCAACATTCATGCCAATTTTCAGCTAGGTGCGAATTGATTTACCTAACCTTTACCCTATTTTTGAAGCTAATATGACCGGACTATAAGGTAGCCAGGTCGATTCTCGCGCACAATCGAGTACAGCCAGTGCATTCTGTAAGAACACTCACATTTCACATTTTAAATCCGCGGTGACATTTGAAATTTTTTATTCTATTTCAAATCGCACGGGGATTCCGCAGTGAAGAGTGAGTTTTATTTTTTCAGAAAAGCACGTGTGTTCCACGATAAATTGTAACTAAAACGTTTTACGTGTTATCTAAAATAATTATTATCGATATTTTATTATATATGTAAAAGTTACTGCGAAAATTTATAGTAGATCAATTTCTATAGCCCAATAATAATTATATAGCAATTAGAACACTACAGAGAAATTATCAAGTCTTGATCATTCTTCTTCTTTATCATAAGCCCGGGTTCACCCATTGTAGGCCTATTCATGATACCCCACTGCGACCCGATCATTGGCAATTAGAAAGCCTTCGTCTTGATCATTAACATTATTAAGTATTATATTTTTGATATAGGTAAAGCTTATTAATTCATTTGGATCCCTTCTGTTTATGTTATTATCATACCTAACTATAGAAGGTATGATTTATACATTATACCAATTTAAACAACATTGTTACAATGTGGAATGTCAATATATTTATTTCATATTATCTACATTGTTGATTTTAAAGTTTTGAGTAAATGGCTGAAATTAAAATCTGCTTAACAATATACAATGTTTGTGTTGCGTTTGCAATATCATAGTCCTCTTATTGATCATGTGGAAATTGGTAATTACTGTACTTTATTTTGTCCTCTGGTTTTATCTATCTACAACATAAAAAGACATATTCCAATGTAAAATAAATATATTTCAAATCAAATGTATGACATTTGATCTGCTTCGAGTGACAGACTGATAAAAAATCTACTAACATCAAGTAATATTTATCGAAAATCGAATACGTAACAGAAATTCAATCTAGTAATAAATACAAAATCCATAACCTTGTTCATTGCACAAAAGATCCAGTCTAGAATAATATATTTAATATAAACAGTAAGTAATAATGTCTTATTTAACATAACTGTGATGACTACATTACATTAATTGCCATGCAATGAAAAAGGGCATGGACAATTTAACAGATTTCACGGTTTTGTTGATTGTCTATTCATCAATTACATAAAATAAATCATTTCTGATTCTTTTTCAAATTCAATCACTACCACACTAGGCATTAGTACATACTATAAAACAATTACGGAAGATAGAAGATGCTTCTAGAACGAAATATAAATATAATAGGCATACGAATGTAAGAGAGTTGTTTACTATAAGAACTTACAGACAAACTTATATTACACATTATTTAAAATGCAACCCCCTAAAGGCCCATAACACGACCGCGAAAGTCTATATTAGATGGTACAACAGTTTAATTTAAAATAAGTATATCTATTCACAGCACTTAACCACATGTTAGTCAACGTTCCACACACAAAACGATCACAATCACTTTGGTGTCATTTCACCGTCCTATTTATATATCAATTGCATTGCTATAGTATTCAAAATTAATTACATACTTGTATGTACATAGTGATAATATCGTCCTTGATAATAATTACAATGATTCTTCAAATGCAGCCATTAAATCACTCTGCAAATTCATATCTATTTGTCCAGCCATCTGCAACAAAAAAAAAATGTGATATTCAGCATGGAACAATTATATTGTTATTGAGAAAAGGGAAAGAGGTGTAAGACTTTATAAACCAAAATTTAAGCCCATATAGACCTAGTGAAATCAAGAGCAAAGCACCCCTAATATTATTAAAGAGTGTATTGCAGTCAAAATCTATCAACTGCAAATGTCACAAATTTTATTGGTTCAAAAAGTTTAAAGAGGTGATACTGACGGCCTCGCGGCGGCGGCGCTCCTGCTCCCGCTGGCGCAGGCGCTCGCGCTCGCTGGCGGCGGGCTTGTCGGGCGCGGCGGCGGCGGCGGCGGCCACGGCGGCGGGCGGCGACGCGCGCGCCACCGGCGACACGCTCGGCGACGCTACTTCCGCGCTCTCAGGCTTGCGGACACCTTGCACCGGCCCCCTGTTACAGTAAATCATTATCACTACATAGTATAAAGCAAAGTCGCTTCCCGATGACTGCCCCTATGTATGCTTAGATCTTTAAAACTACGGAACGGATTTTGATGCGTTTTTTTTAATTAGTAGAGTGATTCAAGAGGATGGTTTATATGTATAATACATGCACAATATAGTAGAGAATCACTGATAATTTTAGAGGTTTTTAATGTAAGGTCGTATATAAACACATATTTTGCGATTACATTGCAAACGCTGGCTGAAACCTACGAGATAGATCAAAATAATGTACTACAGTATTGGTCACCTCAAAAAGATATACAAAAAAATCCGCGATGGTATATGTCTATTTTTTAAGGATAACCCACAATAACCATTTTGTATCCTATACTTTTTACGAGAAATAATAGTTTATTTACGAAGCGATTTTCAGCAATATAACATTCATCCTTATCCAATTAAGTACCCTTAATACATTGTGCATTAAATATAGACTGATTTGGCCCTGTAACGCATGTATTTTTTTTTATACTGCTACCCCCGTTTTGTGACAGGTCTTTATCTTCTCTTTATTTATATATATGTCTTAATTATTTTATATGTTCTTCTTATTCTAAGTTATGCTTTAATGATAACATTTCTGTTTTACTCATTTCTTAAATTCTTGTATCTATTTTACATACATTCTTGTTTGTTTATATCCTATGACTTTTACATTTTTGCTTCCTTATATACTTATTTCTTATTTTTATTATACTTATTTTATACTACATTTAACATTAATAAATTAACCCCACTTCAATTCCACTTTTTATTTACAATTGAGAAGCTTCCTTTACTAATCCTTATTTCTTTTTATTACTTTCTGTACTATTTCACGACTATACTCTAGGAATAGTTTCCTTTCTTTCTCGTTTTTGATAATTTCTCTTAGTGTGCCCCTTCTGATTTGTGTATCTATGCGTGTCTGAAGTGTGCGTCTGTGTGTTCCGTACAGGGGGTACTCTATGAGGACATGGAAAATGTCCTCCTCTGCACCTGGGTCGCAAACGCATCTAGGTTTGTCCTTCTTCTTAAATCTATAGAGGTAGGCGGAAAAACCTCCATGCCCCGTGAGTATCTGAGCAGCAATCCTGTCAATCTCAATCTTCCTTACTATTCCAAAGGCATTTTCCACGCAAGGGAAAAATGCTTATAACGTCTGCCCCGTATAATATGATTGGTTCTATCACAGCTAAATATATTGTTCTGATTATTTCTCGGTTCAGACCCCATGTAGTTTTGGCCGCCCTCGATATCCCCTTATAAATATTTATTGCTTTTTTACATATGTAGCTAATGTGGCTATTAAAAGTAAGTTTTTCATCTATTATTATTCCTAATATTTTAATTTCTTTCACTAATTCTATAATTTCTCCCCCCATGGTCAGTATCGGAGCGTCATACTTTAGTTTCTTAGTTATCAGCATAGCCTTTGTCTTATGTGCTGAAAAATTTAGTTTATTTGACGCTCCCCATTTTTTGACCATGGCGAGGGCCACACTAGCTTTATTTTCTACTTCCCTGGGGCTGTCTCCGTCCACTACCAGAACAATATCATCTGCGAAAGCTTGGTTGTATATGTTGGCAACGGTAAGTTCGTTTAGCATTAACGCATGTAATTTAAATGCATATTTACGAAAATATTACAGATTTAAAATGCAGGGACATAGCGGTTCCGATGCTACCGGGCGGGGGCCCTGGCAGCGCGTGCCTTGTGTAATTAAGTATTAGAAGAATGTCATTGTGTTTAAAACAAGCCTGAGATCAAAAACTATAGTCTACACTACAGCTCTACACCGAAGCGAAGCGAGGGCAGGCCACTAGTTATATAATAAAACTAAGTTGATAAAATGTGCGTGCCGATAAAACTTAAAAAGGAGTCCCGGCACAATAAAGGGACTGAAATAGTGTGATAGCTCTTTATCCCCCCTCGAACAAGAAATTTCCCGTTTTAACCTAAAGGGCATGTTTTTAAAGACATAAGGGCTTTTCCAACCCCTCAACTTGGAAATTAAGTGTAGTGGCGCCATCTGTTGTCGAGTATTTGAACTTCAAGAAGGTAGAATACCACTGATCTCTTCTGAATTCCCATTTCAATTTAAAAGATTGCAGTTTCCAATTAAATTAGCCTTTAGTTTTACAATTAACAAAGCGCAAGGACAAACTTTAAAATATTGTGGCATCAACCTCAAAGAATCCTGCTTCTCTCACGGTCAGCTAAGTATATGTAGTTTGCTCAAGAGTAGAAAATTCGAAAAATTTATATATATAAACCCCTGACAATAAAATGAAAAATTTTGTTTATAAATAAGTAGTGTAAATAAGGAGAAAATATTTTGTCTTCTTTTTTACTTTTTACGTCATATTTTATTTTTTTATTTCAACTACCACGTAATCTCATATCAACTTTCGAGCGAAGCCGGGTATCATAGCTAGTAATAAATAAATAAAAAAACGAGCGAGCTTTACAGTAGTCGCGTATGATGTGTAACATTTAAAACCTCACCTTATATTAGTAAAAAAAAGAAATAAAACCTACTACAAAAGGTATAAGCCATTGGAACATCTATCTATACTCGTAATAAATCTGTAGAGAGGTCAATTCTGTACATGAAATATATTTTCAAAATAACTATCAGGGGGTGATTAGTGATCGATACTGATGCCAAAAATGCAATCAGTAAAAATTTTGTCTGTCTGTCTGTCTGTGTGTATGTTCCTTATAGAAACAAAAACTACTCGACGGATTTTAACGAAACTTGGTACAATTATAGTACAGTCAATCTGTAGGTTGAGTGGTGAAAAAAAAACCTAAAGGGTAAGTCTTGTTTTTTCTGTTGCCAAATGACGTCAGTAAGCCACCTTGGCGATGGGCATGCTCAACTCGTAGGCGTTTTTTGAAAATCTCAAAAAAACTGTCAAAATTTTTTTGAAACGCATTTTTCTTGTTTTGCATGCATTTTAGAAACTTTTTTTTCGAACATAATTGTAGAGGGCGTTGAGTACTACAATTTATATCATTGTTGCAATCTGGTACAACAAAAAATGCGCATTGTATGTGGCGCTAAAATCTCAAAAAAGTGTTTTTTCACTTTTTCACCCTGAAAATATCATTTTAATGAAAAACCTCAAATGGCAAAGTTGTTTCGTACATAATTACCAACAACTTTTGTATAAACATTTTTTTTGTATTACTTACCGTTTTCAAGTTATAAATTGCGCAGGTATGAAAAATCCAATAGAGCGGTTTTGGGCAGTTCAATTACACGTTTGCAGTGCACATTTCAATGTACGTTTTTACTATTCTTTTTTTCAATCATGAAAAAGAATAAAAATATAACTATTTTTTTTTTATTTTTTTTTATTTTTCAATCACGAAAAAAAATAAAAAATAGTAAAACGTACATTGAAATGTGTACTGCAAATGTGTACTTGAACTGCCCAAAACCGCTCTATTGGATTTTTCATACCTGCGCAATTTATAACTTGAAAACGGTAAGTAATACAAAAAAAATTGTTTATACAAAAGTTGTTGGTAATTATGTACGAAACAACTTTGCCATTTAAAGTTTTCCATTAAAATGATATTTTCAGTGTGAAAAAGTGAAAAAACACTTTTTTGAGACTTTAGCGCCACGTACAATGCGCATTTTTTGTTGTACGAGATTGCAACAATAACATAAATTGTAGTACTCAGCGCCCTCTACAATTATGATCGAAGAAAAAGTTTCTAAAATGCATACAAAACAAGAAAAATGCGGTTCAAAAAATTTTTGACGGCTTTTTTGAGTTTTTCAAAAAACGCCTACGAGTTGAGCATGCCCATCGCCAAGGTGGCTTACTGACGTCATTTGGCAACAGAAAAAACAAGACTTACCCTTTAGGTTTGTTTTCACTGAAACGATATTTTTTTCGACAGATTGACTGTACTATTATTCTTCATACTCCTGGGCAGGTTATAGTATACTTTTCATCACGCTACAATCAATAGCAGCAGAGTAGTGAAGGGAAATGTTGGGAAAACGGGAGAAGTTACTCCATTTTTTAAGCTTCCGTCGCGTGTGCAGCCTTAATGGTTAAAGTTACATAGAAATCATGTATAACGGAAATATTCTACATAAAATTGTCTAAAAAATATTCCGCAACAGCATATGTCTATCTTTTATGGTTGACTCACAATAACACGTGTAATTATATAAATAAAGTCATTGTTTATAGCACAAGCCTGAGAACAAAAACTATAGTTTACATTACAGCTCTACACCGAAGCGAAGCGAGGGCGGGTCACTAGTTATGTTATAAAATCAAATCAAATAGTGCGCGCTTCCCAAACTTCCTGTTACACACTTCCGTCCCACTTCACGTAATCACTCCCACAAATTGCACGAAAGCGAGAGGAAAGATGTTATACATCAATAATAAATATTTCCAACACTCGCATCAATTAGCCTATTCCCAAAGTAAGCGCTGTAAGGCTTGTGTAATGGGATACTAGGGTAACGGATAGAATACATATACCGTACATATATAAATATATTTATATAGAAATACATATTAAACATCCATGACTGGAGTACAAATGCTCGTATTCATCACACTAACATCTGCCCCCTCACACTAATATGGATTCGGCCACTCGGCCACGGAGATCGTCAAACAGACGACAGTACATAACACTGACTTATAAACACCACCCATTGATTATATACACGCCTAGATATCGTATTAATTGCACGGAAACTTCCTAAAAAATATCTACTACTTAAGGTAGATACGCTCGTCGCTACACACGCACACATTCTTCACACGTGCTTTCAAATAACCTGACATTAAGAGTAAAATGAGCCTCTTTCTTATTTAACTGTGTATATAAAAATTATCAAAGATACCACCTTTAGCACATCATCTCCCAATGATTTTTCACCACATAATTATACAAGTGGTTTAATGTAGTAAAAAATCATTGGAGGATCATGTTTTTATGTAACCGTTTGTTTCCTTACAAATCAATAAAAAAGAATACATATAATAGAGAACGGGAGAGAAAACGATTCAAAGTTAATGCACGATGTGAAGTTTTCGCAAGTTGCGGTACAGTAAACCAAACGTAGCGTGCTGAAGGTGAGAACGGGGTGTAATTCACTGTACTGAAACCTGCGAATTATTACGTTCGTTGCTAGCTTCACGACCGCCGTAAAGTTTGAATCGCAATATTTATATATTCGAACTATGGGACGCACAAATCGCTTCGTCTCTCATACACTTATCTACTCAGTTTTTTCCAGTTTGAAAGGAAACGCTCACTCCATTCTTCATGTCGTGTTGTGGACGCCATGGCCAAAGGAGACATCGCTTGAGAATGTGATATATAAAAGCTACTCTCTTAAAAACGTGAATAGCCGCGTGCTGTTTGAGCGAGCAGCCTCGCAAGGCAAATCTTCGGTTGGTCAGGACGTGCCTCGCCCGAGGCAAATGCACATGCTGCCTCGCCTCAATACGAATGTTGACGGTTTTTATCGATGCTCCAAACTTTAGAATCTAAAGTGTCTCACTACGTCTGCGCGCGCACTATGACGGTTCTATTTTGCCTCGCTTGTTCGACAAACGACAGAAACGTTTACGTCATGTTTAAAGAACACATTTAATAAAATTATAGGGCGAATGTAGACTACTTTAGGAACTTGCAATGTTCTAATTATATTAATAAAGGACTAAGAGAAGATGGGTGGAGTCTTTTTAGGTCGAAGAATTAATATAAAAGTGAAGGCGATAGCTCTTCGAATGAATGACCTTATGACAGTATTGAGCAAAACTGATTATAAACAGTGCGGTGCCGGTACCGCGAACGCTCGACAACAGGACTGTTGCCGCACCGCGCGTTTTGTATGAAAAAAAAAGGATCGTCCGTACGCTGTACGACAAACGCACCGCTTCGGCACCGCAGCAGGCCGTCAAGAAACGCATAAATTGAAAGCGCCCTTAGGCACGCGTAGTCTTTTGACGCTGTCACGGTCTCACCGTGGCTCGCTGAACGGCGCGCAGCAGCTTTATGCAAAAAAAAATGTAGATCGCGGCGCCCCGGCGCACTATGGGAACTTTGACTCATTTTCATCTCAAAAATCTATAACTCCTGCGTTAATAAAGACATCATCATGATTTTTTTTTTCTGATAATCTTGAATATATTTGCTTTTCAATAATGTATAATTTATGTATAAAAGTTTATTTATAATACTTACAAAAAATAGGAAAACAAAAAATATACGATTTTTAGGCTTTTATCTATGTTTTAATAAGTTTATTAAGGTAACTAGTAAATGTAACTGCTTAAAATTAAAAAACAAACATCATAGTAGCTCAAATGTTACTTAAGAGCTACTTTTCTTCATCAAAAAGTTCTAAATATTTTTTATTATAAGGTATTCTCAAACTTGTAATGTACGGATCAGAGGTATACAATAGTGTGTAGAACATCTTCGTTGGTGGCAGTCCTCGAATATTTTCTTGCATGATGAAGCCTGAACTATTGGTAGTTTTTGTTCCGTGACTCTTGGGCATCTTCTAAAAGTTGACTAAGAGGTAATACCGAAAAATTACGTATGACACTTTCACCATGAATCAAAACTTTGTGCACGGAAGATGGCATATAGTACAATTTATATTTATTAACATACAGTTGTGCTCAATCAAATTCCATCTCCAATTTCTGTTTTGGCTTAAGAACTGTTTTTTCTATCAACCAGCTTTAGTATAGCGATGACGAAACTGAATTATGAAAGACTTCTGAATACTTGCGATAATTTTAGCAATATTTGCATCTGAAGATTCGGTGAAATTGCTTTGTATATAGTTAGAGATGGAAACACCATAATTTGTATCACTTTCAAACAATAAGAGACTTAGGTTGCGTCTGGTACACGAGAACTGACTCATTGCGGAGAGATATTTAAAAAACAATTATTTATGACAAAAACTAACAAAGAACTGTTATATTACATACTCAAAAGCACTATTTTATACCAAAAAATTATGGAAGACGTGTGCAAAATTAGGAGATATTAACTATTTTACAATTTTGAGGTTTTGAGATTCTTCATGATTCTTATGGGAATGGGATCTAAATATTATGTAAAATACACGATATTATTATAGCAAAAGATAAAAAAAAATATAACAAAAGGGCCAAGAGCCTTTATTTAAATGTCCGTACTGAGAAACCCCAAATCAGAAAAGTCTTATTAAACGTACTTAAAAATATGTCTTCACACGCTGATATTCTAAGAGATTCGACAATGTTATGCACTGATACAGCAAAAAAAAAATTGTTGCTGTCAAATTATATTATCTAAGACATAACACAAAAAACAGAACTTCGGCAAGCTTCGGCAAATGTCAAAACTCCAACTGAAAGTTTAAGAAACGAAAATAGTCCACATTATGATATAGATTTTTTTTAATTAAATAATATTCCCAAAAACTGCATATATTTTAATTTTATGGAAAAGAAAACATTCTAAGCTTTCTAAAATGGTATTACACTTATATGACTTCTTTTGTAATGATACTATAAAATGTATAATTTTGCAAACTAAATGAAATCATATTATTATTTTTGTATTTTTTTCATTCCCTGACTTTAGATGTTCTTCTTTATAAAATACGAAGAGTCAGAGACTTAAATTATATTGATTTTAATAAAGTAACTCTTTAGCTATAATTTGATGTATAATACATGCCTCGAATCACAGTTACGGAAAAAGCATTTTTGAGATGGCTTTCTTAAGCGGGTTCCCATAGTGCGGCGGCCTCGCGCTGCAACGTCCGTGGTTGCCTCGCGAGGCTGCTCGCTCAGTCAGGACGAGGCTCATAAACAATTGAGGCACGGTATAATATTACCGTGATTGAGGCAAGGGAAAGGTTGAAACGATGTGTTTGCTGTTACGTCATTGATGCTGTCATGTCAACACATAGATGACAGTCAATTGAATTAAAGGCACGTGTCGTTCTTATAAGTACTGTAAATACAGTTTTAAGGCGTTTTTGTTGATGTCACAATTGAGAATTGGCATGCTATAACATATTATTATTTACTTGCCTCATTTTTTCATCGTCAGGATGTCTTCGTTCTGTTTCCTGTCGTTGTCTTTCCCTTTCAGCTTGTTCCTTTTTTCGTAATTCTTGTTGCTCTATTAACGCTCGCTGTCTATCAATCTTTTCTTTTGCTTGCTTTTTAAATGCCTGAAATGAAAATAATAGGTCAGATGCTCTATTCAACAATTCAGAAAATTTAACATTCATGATTTAGTAATATTTACCTGAAAACTGTCCATAACAGGCTTCTGTTTCATTTGGTTGTTAGTGCCCATATTAGGTATACTCTGTGGACTTCCAGCTTGTGCCAAAGAAGACCACGAACTGGCGTTTTTAAGATTTTGCTCTTGTTTCATTTTGAAGGCTTGAACAAAATTTAAATTCTTGACGTCTTCCATTTTTTTATCCATTTCATATTTTGTTGCTCTATCATACATTTTATTGGAGACACCAATGAGATCTTCTATAGGTTTAGGCGTAAGAAGGGGCTTCATCTCCTCCTTCTTTACAACAGGTGGAACAAGACAGGGAGCTGCGGACATATTGTGATGAGACTGGGCGATCACACTGTGCGGAGCAGAGGGGATGGGATCAAAGATCGAAGACACAGGTGCTACGGTGCTAGCTATATCAGGTATATTAGGATTCATATCGGGTCGTAACAATTCGCGTTCATGGGGCATATTCTTTTCTACGAACCCATTGTGTGGTGGCACATACATTTCATTTTTAATTTGTTCAGGTACATGAGCTGCCATCTCGGTCAAACCGCCCAACTGAGCCATGAGGTTCTGATGCGTCGCGTCCGGCATCATGGGCGTTTTGGGCAAAGAGAACTCCTCCTCGAGCCGCATCGACGACTCGGAAACGCCTACGCTCACGTCCATGGGCACGTCGGCGTTGAGGCTCCTCTCCAAGCTGGCGAGAGATCGTTCTATAGGGTCGATGTAGTGCGAGGGGTCCACTTTGTCGAGTCCGTTGCGGGGTTCGGCTTTGACGGTAGGTTTCTGTTCGTGGACTTCTGCCGGGAGCGTGGTGATAGAGGAGTCGGGCATCGGCGGTGCGGCGGGGTGAGTGGTGAGGGGGACGGCAGGTGAGGGTGCGGGTGCGGGGGCGGGGGCGGGTAGGGTCGCTGTGACGGACGTTGGTGGTGCTGGCGGCGCCTCTTGTGGCTTCAAGTCGGGCGCAACCGGAGGCGCGGACACAGGCGGGGCGCTGTCCGCCGGCTTGCTTTTGATCTCTTCGCCCGCCGCCGCCGCCGCCGCCGGCGTCTCGCTCACCGACACCGGCGGCGCCGACACGGGAACCGTCACCGGAGGCACGCTCTTCTGCAAATGTTCATTCCACATATTACTAAACAAACCCCACCAATCTTCTATATGATAATAAAAAATATGTGATATTTACAACTTGAGGCTGGTGATGCTGCGTCTGCTTCTTTGCTTTCTTTTTCGGTGTTCGTCCGGAGCCCGTGCCTGAAAAAAGAATTCTACCTCATCGACCGATCGAAATCTTAAATAACAATAAACATTAAGTAATCACGAATACTTAACTTAATTGTTCTTTCTTTTTCGTTACTTAAAAAAGATGGATCAGTAACGTTGGTTTTCACTGATATTTTCTGGTGCCGTCTGAAATAACACATTATAGGCGAAAACCTAAGGAAATACATGAATTGGGATTCTTTGGGGGCATAAAACTACTATTTTTAGGAAATCTTCAGATCTCTAGGCTGAGCAAATAAAATGCATTATAAATTACTTAAAAGATTTACTTAAATTCTCGTTATATACTGAAATATATACAAAGTTTATCTCCACTCACTCTTAGTATCTAAACAATTTTAAGTCATGAGTTGATTAAATAAACTTATACAAAATTTATTTTAACTACCAATGGTGTTCCTGTTTACACTCTTCACTTTCTACATCAGCACAACTAAACTTTGCATTCAAATAACTAATTGTACCATGTGTATTGAAACTTTTTTATTTAAAATTCAACCCTATGGTGAATTATACTACTACAAAAGTCATTTCAAAGCAAATTATAGTAAATTCACACATTTATTCAGATAAATATAATCTCTATTGACGTATTGGCAAAATCCTATCCAGACTCAGGTATATCATATAGTTGTATGTTCATCCAATGGCTTGTTCCGCCTCGAGGAACTATTATATAAAATTTATTATAGACTAAAATCTAACTTACTTTAATACATCATAAAGCAATCAGCGGATTGTACTTAACAAATCGAAAAATTCTTTTGAAATTGCTGATTGCAATAAAAATTAAACTGTTATATGAATTTTATTAGGAATGTACAAAATGTCTACATTTCAAATATATTAAAAACACTGATTGCGTATCCCCAATGTTATTATAATCACCAGAGATTGAACATCATCAAAAATGACAAATATTCGCAATGTAAAAGGTTCAAAATAATAGAATAAATACTATACATATAGAAGCAAAATGATCAACATTTTACAATTTGAAAAATGTAATGCCTCTAATAAAACTAATAAAACACTAGTTTGACAAGCTAAGTACCTTCACATACGTATGAATAAATATGTACTTACTAAAAATAATAACATCAATAATGAAATATTTTAGGCCTGTTATAATTACTCTTTTCATTGTTGTTTATAGTAATTCACCTATTAATTCTTAAAATATCTACTCTATGTGTAATTTTTGCAATGCAATAAGAAATTGTTCATTTACATTAGTTTACAAATCCCACTAAACATAATTTGGAGCTTATTGAGGCAAAACATAAACTAGGTACATCTCCACAGATTTTAATAAAGATAATAAAAGAAACATAAATAATATACAGCTCTTTTACTACTACGTTTTTAATGGCAAAATACAAATAAAAAAGCAACAGAATCAAATCTGTGCAAGTCTACTCACAATATATTTATTTAAACCAATGAAAATGATAAAAAACATTTTGTTTGTTTTCAATTTTCTAATAAAAATATCATTACATATAAAAACAATTCATGTGTTACTATTAAATAATAAATAATAAAGAATGAGTTCAATAATTTGCACATGTTTTATCAAGCACCTGATGCTGGTACTGAATCTAGCAGGGCACCATTTTCCTTCTTCCTTCAAAAAGGTACCAAATAAAACTAATATGCAGTCTTGAATGATACAAATCGTCATTAAAAGTATAACTGCCGGACGTAATGGTCTAATATTTTACATTTATTTATAAAACAGTCTATTCATTTACTTTAAGAGGCTACATTCTGCCAGTGACATGTATGTATTTGATTTTATTTAAACAGTTCACAATATTCACTCGCTAAATTAATTATATTGAATTAACAAGTTTGCAAACAATTTGTGAAGGAAGGAGGCCAGCTAGGTATTCGTTAACATTGTACTGTAATTTTGATCATACGACACAGTTTTGGAGCAAGCATTGAAGTGTTCATCAAGCATTAAACCAATAAAACCATACCTTTTCAGACTAATTTTTAACTACAACATGTCACAAAATTACATCCTCTTAATCCCACATGTATAATTTTGCTTGCAAATATGGTATCCGTCCTTACACAATTGTTTGCATTAACTCGCTAGGTGAGTGCACTCGGCTCGTCAGATGTCTGGTGGATCCTCTTCAGTTCATAACACTGAACGTACCGACACTACTTTCAATCTTCTAGCTTATAGTTTCCACAGCTCTTTGAGCTCCATAAAGTATTATATCGGGTTTAAATTTCATACTTAAAAGCCACTAGTACTATGAGATCTGAAGTTTCCAATAATTAGATTTATAATAACAAATTGAAGTTTTAAAGGATGCAAATGAAATAACATTGCTCTTGAGGACATGATATAGTTAAAAATATTAATGTGAAAAGGTATTTCCTATTGGTTTATGAAAGCAAACCAAATATAAAACAGGTCTTACCGGCACCACTATAAAATATCAGTGAACACCAAAGCTGGTCTCCTTCTTTACTAAACTGGTTTGTGCCAAATTACAATCGTCTCTTAACGCAAAACAGACTTTGGATTCGTACTGCTATTTAGAATCAGAACTTCAGGTGGTATCCCTCTTTCCATTATCACAGTGAAAAATCATACTCAGAGCTACATTCGAAGCTCTCTCACTCTTACACCACAACTCAAGAAAATTAAAAATAGGTTTGCTCTTAACACCCTTAACATTTCTTATTGACCCATTGATGGGTGATGAATGAATGTCTCCTATGATTACCAACTCAAGTTAGTTCATAGGATTTTTACAAACTTACCTTCACATTCTTTCTATTTTCATTCATTCGAAATCTTAAAATTTACAAACATATTTACCATAGACTCTACAGATACACTGCTAGAGCCTACTTTAGAATCTAACAAGTCATGAAATTTATCATACAAAATAATAACAGCTGAACTAAATCTGCTTTGTAAACGTATAATATACGACGCCACATTCAAAACTAGATATACAGAAATATTAGCCTTCCCCTCCTTGGGACAGAAAGGTGTCACTCACAGTTAACGAGAATCATGTTTCGTCACACATTCTTAGTCTGAAATAGAACTATTATATGAGCATACTTTTCAAAAATTAAGCTGTTGATATTATTTTGAAGACTAGAATAAAATTATTGAATGGTTAATGATACTGTATTTTCAAAATACAAATTCAGTCATACAAAAAAAATACTGGCAAAGGTAAAACCGATTCCGAATAAATGACGAAAACCTATTTTTGTCAGATCCCAATCAACTTGAATGTACACAAACAAATTCAAAGACTTTGCTAAATTTAAATGCACATAATATTATGACCTAATAGTAAAATTGTAATTTACATCTTAGACAGTACCATACTAGTACTATTTTTGTGTTTAAAATATGAACAAAAAAATTTGTTCAACAAGTTGTGCCGCTAAATATTCTAACCTGCTTCACTGTCACTGCTGTCAGAAGAGCTGGTGTCGGTACTTGAAGAAGAGTTGGACGAATCTGATGAGCTCGAAGAAGAGGACATGCCTCCCCCAAGGCCATCTTTGACTCCTTCTGTCAACAAAATCATCGATTATTTCAGCAACTCAGCATATATCTCACAGATTCTTTAAAACCTAAGAACCCTATATTATACACCTTTCGAAAAATCTCTTCTTTTTTAATTTTCGCTTTGTTGAAGTTATACTTCTTTAGGCGCGTTATGAAAAAATGATGAGAGTGAAATTTTAAGATGCGCGCGCATCACTGTAACACAAAAAATTGGTCGCTAAAGCGACCAACTTCATGCTGTTACTTTTGTGTTTACCGCACATTAAGAAAATCTACCAACAAAATAGAAATAAAATCTCTATTTAGTGGGTGCTAACGACTGCATTGTGAAGACCTATCAAAAGTATTTATTAACCCTTCAACTGCGGGAAAGCCTCCGCCTAAAATACCCCCCGTCTGCGGGACGATTGCGCAACCGCAGCGCGTGTTCGACGCGGTTTGAAATTTATTTAATAACTTGAAGAAATTGGTCGGTCGACATGCAGCTAAATATTTTATTTCAATTATAGATAGGCTATGTACCTTCTTTTTTAGTAATTTCCTATGGAAATTGTTTCAACCTTTTTATTTTTAACAGGAAACGTAGACAAAATCAATTTATGCACCTAAGGTGGCATAAATGCGATTTGAATAAATTATACGAATACTTGTGCTTTTCATTTATAACCTTTTCAAAGTTGAATAACAAAACAATAGATTTTTGCAAAAAATAGGATGTTTCAAGTATTTATTCATATAAATAAACTGTTTTAAAAATTACACTTACACTCCAAAAACTCGCCATTTTGCTACTCATTTAGACCGCACTTTCCATCACTCATAATACTTACTCAAGCCGCATAAAGCATTAGCTATCACTTATTTTAGTCAAATATATATTATTCTATCCTTATAATGTAAAGATATTACATAAATTACATAAATAACTAAATTTTTCGACAAATAAGGGAATCAGTACGCAATTTTTCAAGTTTTGCAAGGCCCGTTTTCAACGGCAAATTTAGAGTATTTTTAGACGTATTTAGGTTATGGAAATGACTGAATGATAAAGTAGACAAACTCAACTGTATCGATCTGACATTCTAAATCATAGCTCAATACAAAAATATTTAGGTTTCGGTGATAACATTCCTAAATGTACTTCTTCCTCGTACTTCACTCATTCTACGCATGTGTGCGTGTACCGAGTGGTATCTGCTGCGGAAAGTGCAGATCTGCACGCACGGAAGAACCATTATCTACTTAGGAGCAGATCTGCACTATTATATAGCGTGTTCATTTTGTGAGTATTTATCTTACTTTATTCAGTCTGTGACTCAAAAATATATTAAGAATTTTATTGTGTTATGAATGGTGTAAAAATGTATGAAACCAGTTTTATCAAATGTTATTACTTTAGAGATCTTACAGTGTGTGGTGTGAAGGTTTTGAATTATTATATTACCCCACTCCCCCCAAATCCAATAGTTCACGTGTTATATCTCTAAATATACTATTACATATATACATGTGATCAATAAATATTTTTGTTTTCTTCCTCTCACTCACTCATCACTCTAATAAAACTACATGGTAGAGGTGATGCATTTTATCTATTACAAATATTAAATAACATTTACACGCAAACAATAACATTTCAAAATTATGTGAAGTTATGATTTTATTTATTATTTAAGCATTTAACTGCTAGATGTTAAATCTAAATAAAGTTTACTAGAAAAAAAATCCACGCGGACCAGGCAGCGGACGGGACTCGAACCCGCATCCTTCGCTATCCGGGCGAATGCACTGACCATTATGCTACCACGGCCTTATTAGCCGCGTCGAAATTTTCCTAGCCTTAAGCTGCAAGGCAGCGCCATCTCTTCGCATTGTAGGTAATCCACAATGTCAAATGAATACTTTTTCAAGTATTCAAAATTCAATATCGTTTATTCAGTCCAGGCTGTTACAAGCACTTGTGAATGTCGAAAAGCTACGCCATCGGTTCGCAAATCTACGGCGGGAGACCTTGTACTGATAAGAACCGGCAAGAAACTCGGCAAGGGCTGTTTTTTTCTCCCTGTATTATATACAGAGTCGTCAATTTGAAAAATGACTTCAATATGAGATAACTCATGAAGTCACTTTCCATTACAAATGTAAATGATAAAACAGTTATGACTATAATATAAAAAACAGATTTAAAAATAAAAAAAGTTTAAGAATGCCGTGTCCTACTGTTTAGGCATAAAAACAAATGTACCATTAAAGTTAAATACAACGATTAATAGTACCCAATGTAGCAAGAGCAGACTCATCTCCGCTGGCAGCACCCATTCACGAGCATGACGCATGAACCAGCCATCGCTTCGCTCAACCATTTTTTAGGGAACGTAACGACCCGCCTCACACGACACATTAAACATTTGAAAGAAGAAATAGCAATTATAGTTATGATTTTATTTATTTTTTATGCATTTAACTGCTACATGTTAAATCTAAAGAAAAGTTTACTAGAAAAAAAAAGTGTGAAGTTTTTAGCCTTTTAAATCCTCCAAGCTGTGGTAGTCACGCCAACATTGGTCGAGGCATAAATAAGTTTTGCACTGGCTACAGGATATACTGGTGAATGTATTTTTGTTTACAGCCAGACAGCGCACGCAACGTCCCCTTTTGCGCTTGCTGGCCTTGTTTGAAGTACGTTCCCCGTCTATAGGTGCAGTGACAGGGAAGTGATCTACCTCTCTGTTGAGCCTCACCAAGGTTCGGGAGCCAGTGTGCTGGCGTGGCCTAGATGTCACACCACATTCCTCCAGTATCTCTGCAGCTAGTGCATACCTAAATTGCCGGTGGGTCAGTTTCTGACTCCGTTGACCTGCCGACTCAATGTTAGCACAATGAATAATATAAGCATTGAGGATGCTAACATTGAGCATCCTCCGGAACATTTTCAGGTACCATTTGGTACCTCTTTTGCGTTCCAACAGGTACATGGCTAGTTTCTGATCTTTAAGATCGACACCACCCATGTACCTGTTGTAATCGCTTATCACAGCCGGTTTCGTGCATGGTTGACCGGCTCTGCGCCCTTCCACTACGCTGTTGTCGTGGAAAGTAGACACTGTGGTGACAAGCTTAACGTCTTTCCACGAAGTTACGGAAACGTCACCACAGTGTGTACTTTCCATGGCACCACGAGCCACCCGGCGTTCGTTTAGGTTCTTGATGATCGCCGGCGTGTTTTGTCGGCGTCGGTTCAGCGTTCCGACCACGTCAGTAGCGCGTGACTTCAAGTAGCGGCACAGCTCCACCGAATTATAAAAATTGTCCATGAAGACAGTGTAGCCTTTGCCAAGATAGTTTTGAATTAAATTCAACACTATCTTGGCAGTGCTGCTCACAAAACCTGTAACGAATGTCGGCTCGCGAGTTGAGCCTTTCCCGGTGTAAATGACTGTGTTTAAGACGTATCCAGTGACCGACTCGCACAGCTCATACGTTTTTATACCAAATCGGGCCGCCTTTGTGCGGATGCACTGGACCCAGCTGAGCCGTCCCTTCCAGAGAAGTAGCGATTCGTCAATCGCTAAATTCCTGGAAGGACGGTATAGTGCACGGAACTTTAAGTTTAGATATTGGATTACGGGGTGAATTTTTGCGATTTTTTTTTCTTCACCTCGTCCGACGATTTCGTCGTTATCGACAAAATGCAGAAACCTCATAAGAATGAGGTATCTGTCCCTAGTCATTATGGCCCGAAACCCTGGCATACCCATTATTCCTGTCTGCCAGTACTCTTCGATTTGGCCTCTAACGCATAAGCCCATTAAAATCATGACTGCAAAAAGCCGGTAGACTTCCGAAACCGATGTCTCAACCCAATCGTTTAATCTCGATCGGGCTGGTATACCAGCTTCGGAAGCCTGGGCAATTGTTTGCCAGGCATATAAATTTGTCTGGTTAACTATCGTTTCTAGAATATGTTGGTCCCACATTTGACGAAATATGCCAATCGGCGAAGTTTCGTCAATGGTGGGACCAACATCTTCTGAAAACGTCTCTCGTTGGCCGGTGAAAGTGGAGTAATCAGGACTCCATGAAAATTCATAATCTGTGATGTCTTGTTCTGCCTCGGCTTCCTCTTCAGGCGAAGCCTCGAGGAGATCACGAAGCTGATCGTTGGTCAGGAGGTCGGCTTCATCCGCTTCGCTTCCTGAATCGACCGCCAACTCTCGAGCTATTTCCTCGTCGAAGATCTCATTTTCCCACTGTAAACACATGCAAACCCTCAACCACAAGCAAACCATGCATATTATGCGTAACTGTTAGTAAATGCGGAGCCACGTTTTATCATAAATCCCCACCAAGTCAGATGCGTCAATCTTATTTACTTATGATGAGCAAACAATGGTAATATAGAATTATTTTCATAACAATATTCACTTCAAATTAATTGGTATTTGTAACGTTAATGGTAACCACATTGTCCAAAAAAATTCATGCTTTAAAATGGACTTGCCCACCAAAATAATAATAAATCATTATATTTCTTATAAACATAATGTCAAAATACTGCCGTAATATCAAACAATCAGACCAAAGCTGCGTTACCATGGCTATTCTAGCATTACGAATGTAATAGGTCCACACACAAAACACGCCACACCTAAACCACGAGATTTTAGTGCAAGTTAGACTAAACTTACATCATTTTGGTTGGCCTCGTCCTCTCCGTTTCCTCCTGGTTCATCTGACTGAAAGGAGATGATTTTTGTTATTTTATTTTTGTTATACTATGCCTTTTTTTTACAAATTAATTAGTTTTAGTCGGAAAAGTTAGCTCAGTTCAAACAAATAATTACGTTTTGCCGAATTTGAGGCTGAGGAAATAGGCAACGACGGGCCAAGTGCATCTCGTCAATGATTTCGACGCCCTCGCCACCTTGTAACGGTACATCGGCTGGAGGCCGCCATGGCTGTAAATAACAAACAAAAATAATGTATAAATGTTAAAAAACATAATTTTACCGTCTTCATTCGATCAGCTGACCCTTTTTGTATGACAAGGGAAATATTTTTAGTAGGTACTTACACGAAGCCTCCCGGAACCTGTTCTTGCCATCACTACCTCAGGGCCAACGGTTAAGCTGCCCTGAGGAGTCCTCAGGACCTCAAGGGCTCTTATCAGTTGGTTGTTATCTTCCATCTTAAAACCTAGTTCAAGGGAAGCATACTTAATTAGTTTTCTATTTATTTGCATCCACTTCTTAAAAAATAAAAAGTAAACAAAAAATATACACCGTGACTTTTTAAATACCCGAGATAATTTACTTAGCATATATTGAGACATCGATAAACATCATATTTCGCGAAAAAACTTGCCAATTATTTTTTTTGTATGAACACAATTTAATTTGAATGTAGCTAATTAACATATACGTTTCTCTAATCGAGAATTTAAATTTGACTCTTTTTAAAAAACAGTGTATATATATAACAATCCGTACACAGTAATAAACTTGGATACGACAGCCGGTACGCGAACAACGAAGAAGACTGAACAAATTGATTAAATGTTAGCAACAAAGCACGTGTAAGGCGAGGCGGCACCTTTTGAAGTCGCGCACACGCACCTTATCAAAGGTGCCGCGAAAAGAGCGGCAATCCACAATAGCGGCGGCATGCTTTAAAGTCGGCCGGGTTGAGCGTTAGAGATGTTACTGTTTTTTATTTTGAATGGAAACCTTGAAAATATTACGATAATTTACTAAGACTGTGTAGGTACATCGTCGACAGCTGGGCTACCCGGTCATTGATTTTTATTCGGTAACCCATTTTTTTTCACAGGCCTAAAATACCTAGTATTTTATATTATTTATTATTTTTGACGACCTGTTTAGCTGTTTAGATTGTGACGTAAGGGTTGCGGGTTCGATACCCGCACAATCACAAAATATTTGTTGATAAAATAGGTATTTGTGCTTGCGTTGTGGTCTGGGTTTAGCTATAAAATTAGCTATTACAGCTGTTTTATACAAGTAAATGATATCACGTATTATCTTTTCTTACGCATATAGTAATATTAAATAAAAATAGATATTCCATAATCATTACAAATTTCGGATTACTTTTATATCAGTCTCAACGTAGGACAGTATGATTTGCGTATTTTATTGTGAATAACATCTAATTCAAATACGGATCTTTACTTTACTAACTTCGGCATAACGGACCAAAAAAACAACACTCTGTAGAACGGTGACGCAGACACCGTGTACGCATACACTCCGGCCGCCATATTGCCTTATGAATGTGTGCGTGCGATTTGAATCATGTTTGCAAAAATAACACTTTTTTACACGTAATTTAGCTTTTTTGTGTATAGTTCGTTATCACTGAATACACTAAAGAATTCATAATGTAAATTTGATAAAAGTATCATGCAGAATATATGAAGAACCTTCAGAATATTTTGAATTTTACAACCGTTACCAAAGTCAGTATTTTTATGCATGCACTTTATCAGCGATTATTTGATATCAGTAATGTCTTTCGTTTCGATTATATTTCTAAATACACTAAGACACTTTCTTAATACATTAATAACACTTTATTACTTACCTTTATAGAGATTTCTTCAATAAAACACACTTTCACAGAACAAGAAATTTTTAGTTGCGAACTTCCCGGTGGTCGATTTTAAAATCGTCGTACTAACGGTTGTTTGGTCATAAGAACGACTTCACTGCAATGAGTGAATGGTTTATTTATCTGGGTTTAAAATTCAAAAGACTTTGAACTGTATTACATTACATTTATTTCCAAAAATGCAAAAAATTGAATACGGGTGACGAGCGAGCAGATCTGCACTTCCCCAAACGGGCTATACTCACGAAGGCGTGCAGAGCTACACTTACGCTGTTGAAGGGTTAATCTGGAACAACGGAACCAAAGCGCGATTCAGGAGACTACAGCGCCATCTCTTGACCATTGGTGTAGTAGAACCAAAAACCACATCTTTAGTTTTTGTAATAAAGTAACAGTTATAGGTATTCATATTTATAATATTTATCCACATGTTTCTAGTTTGTATATTCGGAATACGTGTTTGAGTTTCATACAAGTGCAAATCACATATGTTCTAATAAATTATATTCAGTAGCGATTTTAATTGAATATTTTGATTATTTATTTATTTTTTCAAATTAAAACTGAACTTTATTGTGTCCTTTTCCAGACTTTTTATTAATTTATTGTAATTAATTATTTGCATGCAATTAAAAACTAATTTTAAACGACGCCAAAGAAGGATAACTTCTCACGCGCCTACATAAGTACACGCACCCATTTTTTAACTTTCGCTTTGATAATCATTTTAGAAATAACTTCAGTTAAATATATTTAATCTGTCAATTATATTGACAGATTTTCAACTAAAGTTATTTAGAAATAACTTCCTTAAATAAAATAAAATCAAACCTAATAAATAAAATCCTTTTTAGAAAAAGGATTATCAGAGTTAAAGTAATTCAGAAGAGATTTTTCGAAAGATAAATAATATATGCTCACATTTTACAACAAGATTTAAAAAAAAATTGACCCTTTTAAACAAAACAGATTGTATGATTAAAGAATACATACAGGTCCCATGACAAGTGCCAAAAAAAAAGAAATACTTATCAAACAATTATAATTATTTTAACTCATATTTTCTAATTACCTTTCTTTTGCTGTTGTTTCTTACTTGTTCCTAGTTGACCTGATACATCTTGCAATCTTTTTTCTAATTCTTGTTTTTTATCAGCCATTTGTTCATCTTTAGATTTACCTGACATTTTACGATCTGAAAATTTAATAGAAATAATGTGTATTATATCGATTCATTTTATATTTCAAAGCACTTTTTTTTTAAATATCTAGCTATCGTAATAAGCATTCAATTAAGTTTCACCAACATTATTTGCCTATTGAGGGAAAATTATATTTAGTTTGCTACTTAAATACCTACAAAATAAATAGCATAATATTAATCAAAATTAAATCTAAAGGTTTTAGTAATGAAATCATGGGTTACCACAAAACAACAATAAAACAAATCTACTGATAGTCTAAACAGGAATGAAGTATGGAAAAGGTAAATAATGTCGGCTTCACTCACAATGGGGCTTACGTGTCTTTTTCCGTAGACATGATGCAACATAATTTTCTAGTTCTCTTAATGTTGAAGGTTTGAGTGTTTCGAAGTCTATCTCAATTTCATCTGGATTAGAATCCCGTAATGAGGGCTCTCTGCTCTGGATTATGTGCACAACCTTGCCAAGTTTGTCGCCTGCAGGAAGATGAATTATAAACACTACATATAGGAGTAGCTATAGTGAAAGCATTAGGTGCTAATTCTTTGCACTCATTCTCATCACTTCAGTTTCTTAACATTTTCAAATCATCTCAATCACTTCAGCCAGTAGTATACCAACAAATTCATAGGACTCTATAAAAAATCATAAGCCAAGGAAAACAATACAAGTTTTTAATATCTAATGTGGAAATGACAAATATAAAATTGACTTCTTCTTTGTGATATTCGAATAATTTTATAAAGCGCCTACAGAATCATGATCCTACTAATATTATAAATGTGAAAGTTTGTATGTTTGTTACTCAATCACGCAAAAACTACCGAACGGAATTGGATGAAATTTTGTACGCATAGAGTTTATGACCTAGATTGGGACATAGGATACTTTTTTCCTGGAAAAGTGTTAGGATCCTGAGGGATTTTCTAAAAACTAAAGTTAACGAGGAGGAAGTTTCCTCTAAATTCTAGCACTTCACATAGCTATTTGTATTTGTTATTAGTCATGTTGAGAGTAGGCTGGTCTTATCAAACTTTATAGGGAGTGAGGAGACTGTTGTAGTTTACATACATATACTGTAATATAAAAAATGATATTTATTTTACACAAATCTAGTAAATCAAACAACTCATGTGTATATGCTAAACGTGCGTAAATATAAACGCACGCGTGTGCACACATTCCACCTTATTCAAAATCGCGGACTTCAGTTAGTCTTGGTTTAAACCTAAAGTTGTCTCAGTCTTCTGTTTAGCAAACAAAAGTGACAGCATCAGTTTACTTCCAGAGGTCCAAGCACGACTTTTTGATAGCTATGTAAGGTATCACATCATCAAAGTTTCTATGAAAACGGACGTAAAACAAAGTAGCTTCATCCATATTAAATTTGCACTTGGTTGTTAGCTCGTATTTGGGTGCACGATGCAATATTTACATTGGTTTTACTCGAACACAGACTAGAAAACGGCGTTGGGTAATCAAAACGAAAACTGTCCGAATACGGGGCGTACTCGACTCCGTTCATTAACACTTTGTCGACAATCGTATTCGGGCTTACGAGCAAATGTAATTGCGCCATTATTTTACGGAGTTGTCAAAATCTCGTGCTTGGCCCTAAGGTTTTAACTTTAGTCAACGTTATGATTTTATTTATTTTTTAAGCATTTAACTGCTAGATGTTTAAATCTAAAGAAAAGTTTACTAGAAAAAAAACCACGCGGAACAGGCAGCGTTTTGTAATAAAACGGATTAAGTTTGCGTCAATCACCGGGCAGCTTGTTGATGTCGAGCGAGAGTTACCGCTTCTCGTCGTAGGACATGGGCTTGGCGACGTCTTCGTCCTCCGAGTCAGAGTGCGGCGCGGGCGCAGCGGTGGGCGTGGAGCCCTTCTTCTTGCCGGCGGCGGGCCCGCGCGCGCCCGCAGCGCCTCCGTCGAGTAACAAGCCGGTTTAAGTTTAGGTCACTCACCGGGCAGCTTGTTGATGTCGAGCGAGAGTTGCCGCTTCTCGTCGTAGGACATTGGCTTGGCGACGTCTTCGTCCTCCGAGTCGGGGTGCGGGGGCTGGTGCGGCGCGGGCGCGGCGGTGGGCGTGGAGCCCTTCTTCTTGCCAGCGGGGGGCCCGCGCGCACCAGCCTTGCCACCGCCCGCCGCGCCGCCGCCCGCACCGCCGCCCCCGCCGCCGCGCGACCGGCCCGTCTTGCCGCGTGGTCCACTCGCACCTGAACCAAACACCCGCTAATTAATTATCACCGTATTTGACAACCAGAGTACTTTTATTTATGTACTAGCGGCCGGGCGGTAGTTAGTTCCCCGTAGGTGATAGCGTGATAATATATAGCCTATATGTTGACCCGACTTCTCAATAATATTCGTGCCAAAGGACATGGCTAACTGCCCTTAACGTGTATAAATATTTCGCACTAGCCAGTATCTTTATAACATTGTTTTTATTAATTATTACGTGTTTATTATTCTCATACAACTTTCGTGAAATAATCAAATATTTAAGAGTATAAAAATTTACTTCATGTCTGTTTCAAAAGCAAAATGTTCCGTTTTACAAAATAAATGAACAATAATCGTACACAAAAAATATTTGTGTAAGTATATCGAATAAGCAATATTATTTCTAAACTCCTTCAAACTATGACATATTTTTTTGCGTTTTAATAAAAATTAGGGCAATTTTTATTAAAACAAATCAATGAAGGCCTAAAATAATAGATTTTATTATTCTGATCAGACTTGAGACAAGGCTGTATGATAATAAATCCCTTAATTTTTGCAAATGGACAAAATAAAACTTCACAGATTTCCTTTCAGGCCGACAATAACAAATTATTTGTATTTATTTTTGCTTTAATAGTAGATTGTTAACCGAGGCCACCCTCGGTGGCCTCAAGAATCAATTCCCGAGGTATTTAGCTATAGTCAGAGTAGGAATTGATTCTTTTACCCGAGTTAAACACTCTACTTTTCATTTCGAATATGAGGAAAATAAAACTAGTTGTTGTTCAAAAATATTAATTCATAAATAGGTATATATCTATACTTATAATAAATCTGTAGAGAAGTCAATTCTGTACATGAAATATATTTTCAAAATAACTATCAGACACTGATGCCAAAAATGCAATCAGTAAAAATTTTGTCTGTCTGTCTGTCTGTGTGTATGTTCCTTATAGAAACAAAAACTACTCGACGGATTTTAACGAAACTTGGTACAATTATTCTTCATACTCCTGGGCAGGTTATAGTATACTATTCATCACGCTACAATCAATAGGAGCAGAGTAGTGAAGGGAAATGTTGGGAAAACGGGAGAAGTTACTCCATTTTTTCAGCTTCCGTCGCGTGTGCAGCCTTAATGGTTAAAGTTACATAGAAATTATGTATGACGGAAATATTCTACATAAAATTGTCTAAAAAATATCCCGCAACAGTATATATCTATCTTTTATGGTTGACTCACAAAAACACGTGTAACTCCTGATAGCTTAGCAGTTCGGAGCATTCTGATTATATAACGTAAATATGACAATTTTAGTTTGATTATAAATACAGGTAATAAAAATGACCGTTTTTATCTATATATGTATATAAAAGTCAAAGGGGACTGACTGACATAGTGATCTATCAACGCACAGCCCAAACCACTGGACGGATCGGGCTGAAATTTGGCATGCAGGTAGATGTTATGACGTAGGCATCCGCTAAGAAAGGACTTTGATCAATTCTACCCCCAAGGGGATAAAAAAAGGAATGAAAGTTTGTATGAAACTTTGTCAATTTTAAACCAATCGGGCTGAGACTTTGCATGCAAGTATAAGAAGAATCATAGATGAATGTCATTGTGTTTAATACAAGCCTGAGAAAAAAAACTATAGTGTACACTTCAGCTCTACACCGAAGCGAAGCGAGGGCGGGCCGCTAGTATACCATAAAATTAGAAGTAGCTATTTAAAATTAATTGTCATATTATGACAATTAGTGAAATTAAAAGTTACATTCTTGTTTGGAATGTTTATGCTGTTTGATATACTATTACAAAGGCTGTTTTGGATATCTGTAAAAGTAGGAGACTCTGTTATTTCATCAAACGATGGATTCCATGGCGGATACTCCCTGGAAGTTGTCGGCTGAGGCGAATTGGGTATTTTAATAGTTTCGGTTAATTGGTTTGAAATTTTAGTTTTATTTTGGACTGAATCCTCAATGTATATCTACAATTTGCCTCGTCTTTAATTGAATCCGGTGTCAACATTTCTGAATCGCTTGAACTCATTTTTAATATTCGAAGTTGGATTGCTCTGTTTTACTTAAAAGATTATTATTTTTTTATTCCGTCACAGATACATAACAGTTTAGTATCCAGCCAATGTATGTCGACTTTTTAAATTTAAATATGGAACAGCGTAATTGTTGCGGCTTATTCCGCTCAAAGAAGTTTGTGCTAAGTCCATACTGGCTGTTTAGAAACTTACATCGCCGCAGCATTTTTTTTTTACAATTAACTCCTCACACCTGACAGTAGTTCTATTTTTAAAGATCGAAGAAGTAATTTGTATGAGTTTTTACTGCTGAGGGAAGCAGCATTTTCCACCCAACAAACAGATCAAAACAACACCACTTTCCGAGAATGAGAAATGAAAAATAACTTTTTGTGAAGAGATAATCAGAGAAACGGGAAAAAAAATTCTAAGAAAATGCGAAATTGATGACTCAGTAAATAATTGGCAACATCTTTTACCAACTGTGTGTAAGGTAATGACATAGTAGGAGTTCTTGTCATTTTCAAGATTGTGACTATCAAAAGTTCCTGAGCCTTTTTTCATAGAAATTATAAAAATACAGCCATTTACCATTAAATATTACTAAGTACAGTATTTATACATTGCCAGGGCAGTCGTTCATACAAAACTTTACCATGTCCTTTGAAGTAAATCCATGCAGTGCTTTTTGAGTTTATCCCAGACATCCATACAGACAAAAATTCTAAAAACTATATTTTTGGCTTCGGTATTGATTGTATATCACACCCCAAGTATTCTTTTAAAAAAATATTCAATATACAGTTTTGACTTTCCTTCCATTTTATAATATGTATAGATTTAATTAAACTTTATTGCCAAACATAAACAAACAGGGGACTTAATGCCATAGTCATTCTCTTCCAGTCAACCAGTAAGAGCGTTGGAGAGAAATGGTATGGCGATAGGGCAGTTGCTAAAAATAAAATAAAAAGTGTAATGAGACTGCAGATGATTATTAGTAGGACTTATTTTACATACAAATAAAATATTTAAAAAAAATTGATTCGTGTTCATACGTGGCTTTATCAAATCTTACAAGTTTAATCTATATAAATGTGAATAACGTAAGTTTATTTATGTTATCAATTATGTAGGTACGACATATGTCAGATCTTAGTTTAAGAATAAGGCAAAGTTCAGACGGTGGGGTGTCGAGGCGCGTAAATTCTTATGCGCGTAAAGTTTCTCATTTACAAAAGACCGTTTAGTTTAGACCATCATGCGTAATGGAGCATTCACTTGCAGCTACGTGCGATCATCGCTGTTCCGTCGCAGGTAGGGTTATTATTTAAAATTTTGAAAAGTCCTGACAAAAAGCTGGACATTTCGATAAAAGTCCGGACATTTTAGTCTTAAAATGCAAACATCACCCACTTTGTTACAGTGATATTATAAGCGTTGTAGCAACGCTCGCAGGTCTCGTTGTTGATTTTTAAAGGTAATTTATATTTTGTTTTTAAATTAATGAGAACTTAATAAAGATTATTTGAAATAACTGAATAAGTAGTTTTACTCATATTCCAGCTAATTAAAAAAATCAGGACAAATTAAAAAGCCGGACAAAGTCCGTACAAAAGACAAAAAGTCCGGAGAAATCCGGACGGATGGTAACCCTAGTCGCAGGTATATTGATGCGCACGTTAAGGAGCGCTTGCGCTTTCTTTTCATTATTTATTTAATTACGCACGTTTAGTTTTGTAGTTGATTATATTAACAATACACATTTTTAAGAGTAGCTAGAAAATATAGCAATTTGTGAATTTACATGTCCTTTTTTGTTTTTGATTATACGTACTATAATAAAATTTGATTGTTTTTCTTTCAATTTTAATCCGGGTGCTCATTAGGCCACAGAGGATCCGATCAGGCCCTATGAAATGTACTCGATACTTTGAAATATCGATACTTTTGTTTCAATACTTTTAAGAGTACTTTTTTCCGATGCTACTCATGAGTACAGTATCGATACTTTCTATTCGATATCGTGTCCCTACTTGTTGCATTCAAACCGTACGGGGCAACGAAAATGAAAGATGAAGTGAACAATGATCGATATCGCTTGTCATCAGTATCACCATCGTCAAGTTTCTATGTAAACTAAGCAGGTAAACTAACTTCTATGTAATCAACTAAGCACCGGACGTAAGAACTTATAATGTGTGGTAGTAAGAACAAACTATGTATCTCTCTCTCTCTCTCTTGCTTGTTGTAATTATAATTTTTCATTGGGCTTGTAGCAATATTGTAAACATTTGTTACAAAAATGGTTACAACATTAACTGTCCGACAATGACATTTCGCACTCGCAAACTATTTGAATTCGATATTGGTTCGTGCTAAGTTCATTAGAACTCCTTAGACGCGCGTTCACGCACGTCGACGTGCGACCAACCGGACTTAGCCTTAACTGAGCGTTCTCTAACCTAAAGTAAAACTTGGCAGATATTTGTGGAAGACGAAGCATTCCGGCGGTCCAAAGTTCGTTTCTGTGTTGGCTTCTTTTTCTCTCTTTCTATGTTCCAAATTATATGCGAGTGTCGCCCAGTTCTCTAGTGTATGTTACAACTTGCAAAAATTGTGAGACAAAAATATTACAAATGTTTACAAGATCACGCACAACTTTGTTATTGTTTTGAACCACTTTGATGTGCTTGTGATTTCATTGAAAAAAAATGGGTCTTATATGTAACTAACACACATTTGACTTGACGACCTCCATGGCCGAGTGGTTTGTACGCCGGGCGTTCAAGGTTTCACCTACTCGAGAGGTCCCGTGTTTGAATCGCAGTGGGGGCAGATTTTTGTGTGATGAATACGAGCATTTGTACTCCAGTCATATAAGTATCAGTATATGTAATCTATCCGTTACCCTATTATCCCATAACACAAGCCTACAGTGCTTATTTCGGAGCTAGGCTAATTGGTGTAAGTGTTGGAAATATTTATTTTCTGTTTTTTTTTACATATTCATAAAAAACATATTTTAAATTTTAATTGGCGTGAGTAACTTACCTAAATTCTCTGCGATGTTGTTGGCTTTTGTTCCGTAAGCTGCAGCAGCATTCGCCTTTGGAACACTCGGATTGGGTATCTGCTTTTTCGCAGATTTGTCCTTAACTTTCTTCTTTGCCTTCTTCTTAGTATTAGATTCTTCAACTAGCTTCCTCATTTTCTCTTGAAGGGCGAGAAGTTCTTTTTCTAGAAGTTTGACTTTGTTAGTTCTCTCCTCTTCTGAGTCGTCGGACTCTGAATCTGACTCTGAACCGGATTCTGAACTTGAAGCAGAGCTTCCTTTATCCATATGTGGCACACCCACATGGACGGGCTCATCGGGAATCTTAGCATATCTACATAAAATGTACATTTTAAGTATGTAATAGATGCTTATTACACAGTAAGGATAAAATGTGCGGAAGAAATTAGAGGAGGCCCATGACCAGCAGTAGATGCAGCTGATTATGATAATGCAATTACTTTTGCAAACTGTAATACTATTTTTTAACAGCTGATCTACTACGAAATCTATTTTGCAGACAGAAACAACATATATACAGGGTGAAATTGAATGTTTCTATGAAACTTCGTGAGATTGATGGGTTACGTGTATAGAGTATGCCTGATTTTTTTCGGATTTTTAAAATATTTTTTTTCGTTTTTTAATTTTTTATTTGGTTATTTTTTTGTCATTTCTTCCTTATGAGTAATTATTCATTTTAAACACGTCTACATAGAAGTTATAAAGCAACTTAAAATAAGCACTACTAAAAAAACGGAAACTTAATGAATGCCTTCATTATGCCTCCAGTCGAGATCAGCGCCGGTCGGGGCGACGACCGGCGGCCGCCTGTAGGTACCTAACTACACGTACAGATGACTCGGCGCTTACCTATTCTCCGCTTTGATCCACACTATTTAAAAAGAATACAATAAAATAGTCTTAGATGCTATATTATAATTATTTATTCACTGATACACAATACCTTTGAATATTATTTCACAAAGCACAGGTAATTAATCAATAAAATAAATCTTCTTAAAATTAAGAGCAAATCGGTATAACTTACGAGCTAAGTGAAGGAAGGAACTCTTCGTGTCTGATTTGCCCACGTCATGAAATTCCGAACACATTTAATCACAGCCACAGTCACACATACACACACACACACACACACACACACACACACATAATAATATGTTGTTTTGCGGCAAGCACGGGCGGGCGGCGCGCCGCACGCTGGCAACTAGCGCCGGTTGCGGCGTCTTTAATGATGTGAATTCCGCCCACCTCCCCTCTACCCCGCACGCGGTGGTTTGCTTTGATTGCATGCAAAACGCAGTCGCAAGTATATCAATCGCGCGTGCGCGTGCGCATCTTTTGACTTAGTGACATACACTGTGATAATTTCATTATGCCTCGGTATACGAACCAAGAATACCTATTTAGAGATGGTGTACTGCTATCGCGAGTGTGACGAAGTAGGTTTGGTTTACGAATGAGTCCCCAAACCATAGAAGTTACATTTTGTGCAGTCAGTAGTGATAGGGACACTTTAAAAAAGGTGAAAAGACACGTCCGCAAACATGCCTACCTTTGTTTGCAGCAAAATTGTGGTTTAGAGCAACAATTTTGCAGATAATAATTTAAGTCGTTTTTTATTGCTAGTGTAAATACTTTTTGATTAGAAACAACTAATTGTATACTACCAGTGTGATTGATTTGATAAAAAGTTCTAGTGAAAAAAATGAATACGTTCCTCGTTGTACCTACTTACATCGCCGGTCTGGTAAGTACTTTTGAATACCTGGTTATAAATTTCATTCTGACCCAAGTATTGAACTGCAATAAGTATTTCTTTTTGTTTAACATTTGCCTATTTCCAATCGTGACAAAATTATTATTAACTTTTAAAGTTTTTCTCTGCTTAAGAGAAGATGACATTTGTGCTTATTATTTCAATTTCAATAAAGGCATCTAAGCCGATTTTATTGTATTGTGTGGAATCAAACGAGTCAGCTGAGCTCTGAGTAGAGCTAGGTACCTATTCACTCAACGGCTGGCGGGCGCGGTCGGTCGTTGACCCGCGGTGGAATTTTAATGTTTTTCCGTTTTTTAGAAGTGCTTATTTATTAGTTGTTTTTCACTGGATATGTAAGTTTGTTTGTTTAAAATGAATAACTACTCAAAAGGAGGAAAGGACATAAAAATACACAAATTATAAATAAATACATGAAAAAAATATACTTCAAAAAAATCCGAAAAAAAACAGGCATACTCTATACACATAACCCAACAATCTCACGAAGTTTCATAGAAACATTCAATTTCACCCTATATATACAGGGTGTTACAGAATTCCGAAATAAAATTTGTAGGTATGTATTCCGAAATAAAAATTTGTAGGTATCTGAGCGGGGCGCAGGGGCGCCTGGGGGAGTGAGGGGGGTCTGTATAGGTAGTAGTAATCGTACGCATTTATAGGCTTGTCATAGGCGGTGTAAAACTATGTTTTTATTAATTTAATTAGAAAATAAAAGTGGTCTAAAAGGCGTCAAACTTTCGTAGGTAATTCTATACAAGGAACACAACCAAACCCTAAAGTTTTATTTCGGACTTTTGTCACACCCTGTTTATATATATTTAACTAACCTCATCTCGAAAACGTCTTGTAACTTCCTTGCCATTGCTACAACGTCATGATCCGGTGGGTTGTACTTGTAACAGTTTGTAAATATTAAACGAACATCAGCAGCAAATTCTGCGGCTGTTTTATATGCCCTATTGTCCATCTTTTGCTTTACAGTACCGAGATCCATAGGTTTCTTAATAATGTCAAAATAATCATGTAGTCCCAACAATTCCGCATCAACTGGTTTATAAAATGGCCAGGCATATCCCTATTAGAAAAAAAGTGAAATATATATTTCTAACAGGTCTGCCAATTCACAATAACATTGTAGGTTAAAAAATATATTATTTCGGCCATTAAGCAACCACAAGCTTAAAAAACACAACAAAATACTCACAGAATGCTTCTTTGAGAATAATTCTTTTAAAATTTCATTACAACTTTTTAATGCATCAGATAACTTTTCCTTGCTTTTGGCAAGTTGAGGTGTCATTACTGAATGATGAGATGCACCAGCTCCACCTACACCCGGAGAAAGACCTCCCATTTTAAACCCATCCTCGCCTGCTCGACTAACCTGTAATAAATATTTTATCAATAACCATTTTTTTATCTAAATTTATTCAATGGATTGCAAATATATTTAACATGTACCTTCTTCTGGCGACCACTTTCTCGTCTGGTTGAAATTTTTGCAGGTTTAGGACCACTTTGTTGATCAATAGTAGGAGTAGTATAACCACCTTCAAATGAACTGCCCATGGGAGTAGTAGTGTCAGCTTTTCTTTTTACACCCTTTTTTACCTTAAATCAAATCTTCAGGTAAATAGACTGTTTTCTGCTGTGTTTTGATTTTCTAGCTATATTTTCTTTATATTTAAATATCAAGCAGTTAAATGCTTAAAAAAATAAAAATTATAACTGTATTTGCTTTTTCTTCTTTCAAATGTTTAATACTTGTAAAGGTATTCATTTGACATTGTGAGTTACGTACAATGCGAAAAGATGTCGCTGCCTTGCAGCTTAAAAACGGCTAGAACGAATTCAACACGGCTATCAGGGCCGCGGTAGCATGGTCAGTGCATTCGCCCAGATAGCGAAGGGTGCGGGTTCGAGTCCCGTCTGCTGCCTGGTCCGCATGGAATTTTTTCTAGCTATATTTTCTTTAGATTAGACAGCCTATTTAAGGCTGTCTAATTTTCACTTAAAGAAATTATTCCTTAATCATCCCACAAATACCTTAGCAGGTTGAGTTTGGGACAACGCGACTGTAGGAATGCTGGAGACGGGAGGTGCCGCCGGTTGTGCCACATGAAAACTAGAAGGCTGTGTCGCCACCTACAACAAAAATAGTTCTTCAAACACATATCACCCCAGTTCTCTATAATCAATAGTTTAAATAACAATAACAGTTATAGAATCTCAGTCCACACAGTTGCTTCATAAAGACATTCGACTATTTTATCTTAGCAACTTTTTTTTTCCGCAACTCGACTTCAGTTCCTCGGTTTACTCGTGGTCGTGGTCAAAGGAAACTACCAAAATAGCCTTTTGTAACATTGAGATTGTCACGAAACAATTTTCGTGCACAACGATGATACCGTAATACACAAAAGAGTTTGAAGCCTAAATGCATCGAATTTAGCAAATAGCATGTTCTTTCTTGGAAAGCTTTACTTTACCAGTTTTCTATCTTTTTCGACATTATTCATTTTCAACGCTTTAGTTTAGATGTTATTCTGAGATATAAAATTTTAAACCCCATTATAACAGAATCATACATGTTCTGTGATTAGAAATGAGCAGATATGTGACATTTTAAAAATAGCCGTATTTGAAATGCAAAATACCTATTTCCATTTTGTATTTAAATATTTTTTTAGAAAAGCATTTGCCATGTTATTTGAAATACTTTTAAAGACATATTTTGTATTTGCAAAACGCAAAATACTTTTTAACCAACTTCAAAAAGGAGGAGGTACCCAAATTGTGAACCTTAACTGATTTTGATGTTTCATACGTTAATCGATTTTTCTTAATCATGGGAGTGCTACTAAAGATATAAAAATAATTGAAATTCAATAGCGGGACTGCTAGGCGCCATATTGTGACAAACAAAAAAAATAGTTATTGAAATCGATATATTTCAATAACTGTGGGGTTTCGTCTAGACAATCGAAAATCATATTCAAGTGTCTTAAATTATTTTTATTTCATGTGCTTGTTGAGGATCTACAACGATTGAAAGTTGATTAACAAACATTTTTGCGCTTTTAATTACAATATTAGGTTTTTTTGGAACTTTGTTACACTTTCACGCAAAAAAGGATTTTAGTGAAGCTTGAGTGAAGTATAGCCCCCAGAGTTGTCACCGTCGGCGCCGGCTCCCAGGACTACAGGCCGCTTCTTAGCAACACCCTTGGCCCTCTTAGACGATAATTAATAGGATATTACCTGCTGTGGTAGGCCAGTATGCGTGGCCGGGGGAGTCGCCGCCGGCGCGGGCACCGTGGGTGCAACGGTGTTGGGCGGGAAGAGGGCCGGGTGCGGCGGCGCCGTTATCGTCTTGACAGGCGCTCGGGGCGCGCCCGCGGGCCCCGGAGTCGTCACAGTCGGCGTGGCCCCCGGGACTACAGGCCGCTTCTTGGCGACACCCTTGGCCCCCTTAGACGGTAATTCGATCTCCTTTTCCTCTTTCTCCATCGACGCTATCTAAAAACGGATAACTTATTATATAGGGCTCTGTAAACGATCAAATTTGTTTGACAAAATTGCTTGAATAACATCACATATCACGCAGTTATTTGTTTGTCAAGTGCCTCAAACATAGCCTTAAAACAACGATATTAAATACCCTAGATACAACAACACGAACAAAATCGTGGCCAAAACCTGTCCAAAAGGTACATTGGACGATACACGGACCGTAAGGTGATCGCATAGTCAAAAATAATATAAGGCAATATTTAAACATTGAAAGTCACGTTTAATGCACTCTGTATAAGGTCTTAATTAAAACGCATGCGTCAAAGAGTTATGACAGTTCGAAATGCAAGCTCGTAAAGGAGACCCGGCACTTTTCATAGAAAAAATGCTAAACTTGTATACAGTTGAATTTGGTCTCAAAATAAAGCCAAAATTATTTGCTACATAAAACTACTTTCGCCTTATTTTTAGTGAATCGTGGAAAGAAGTTATATAATAATTAATATTTTTTGATATGGAAACCCTAAATCTTCAAGGAACAGAATTTTACTTCAAAATATTACTTAAGTGACTGTAAAAACCATGATTCCTTTGCTTTTTCTAAATAAAAAACCAAATATCAATTTGACAATCCTATAATATAAACAAAAAAATCATTCGCATTTCGCATCCGCTCCCGCGTACTGTGATTGTGAATGTTCTCTGTTGTGATTACCTTTTTATCCGTTATTTCTCTTGACGACCCGGCTACATATAGAGGTTATATTGACAAACCTACGTATTTGACATTGACAGCTAACTGCTGATGACAAATATTGCCAGACTACGTTACCCAATTATGAAACACAGATAAAAAAATTAAAAAAGTACACAAAATGCCGGGTGTCCTTTTACGACTTATTGCTACATACGGAAGAACATAAACCTTTCGTGTTTGATCCTACGCACAATTCTCAATGCGCTGTTAGCAATATAGCAGGTACGGACCGTGAGGAAAAGAGACGGCTATAACCTACCATGCATTTGAACATCACAAATATTTTCTAAATCAGTTTATAGTAAGTATTACAACAAAATTTGCTTCGAATGCGTTTAAATTGGCTAAAAAATTTACAATTGATTAGATGCCTGTTGAAAAAACGACACTTTACGCACTATAAATATTTTAGTCGCATTATTTCACGGAAGAGCTCCGCAGAGTGGCAACTTGACTTTTAAACGATCCGCGCATGACTGAACCAAGAAGTGCTTGAGTGGTGTTCAAGCACTTCTTGATTGGGACACATTTTGAGCCCACGTGGTGTATCTAAGGTATTTAATATAGTTGTCTTAAACAATCAAATTTGTTTGACACAAACATGCAGGTTTGTCAAATAAATTTGAAACAAAATATTGTGTATTATTTCAAGCACTTACCCTGTTTAAAAACAGCTTTTCTAAAGTTTGAGCCATGATGACCACATCTTCTCCAGGTTTGTTGTATACATAGCAATTGGTGAACATTGTATTGAAATCTTGAATGCATTCTTGCGCTGAATAATAGTAATTTGACTCTAAGCGTTTTTTGATAGTACCCAAATCCATAGGCTTTTTTATAATTTTGTGGTAGTCCTGAAAAATACAAATACTGAATTGTAGAGTCAGTTAAGAAAAGTAGACGTTTTATATTTGTATGGGCCTTGGGCTAGGTCTTGTACATGTACAAATAAAGGAATGAAGAACATAGCCGACCTCAACCATTAAAAAAATTACATTTTGACATTTACTTATGACATTCAAAATCTACAACAGCGAACATAGTTGGCAACGTCAGTTCGGCGTTTATCAAGTCAGAAAACTTAACGTCACTGTCAGTCATTTGTCAACAGTTCACAAATAAAATAACACCACAGTACCCAACAAAATCGTTTTAATACGCCGGGTTTCATGGTGTCGCCGACTCGAGATCCCGGGTTCGAATCCCGTGGGGGCAGATGTTTGTGTGATGAATACGAGCATTTGTACTCCAGTCATGGATGTTAACAATGTATTCCTATATAAATATACTTCTATATGTATTCTATCCGTTACTCTAGTATCCCATGACACAAGCCTTACAGTTCTTACTTTGGGGCTAGGCTAATTGGTGTGTGTTGGAAATATTTATTATTACTAATATAACCACAGACTTAATAAAGACATCGGCAAAATCGCCGCATTATCCGTCATTGTACCAATAAATTAGGTAAAGAAACTAAAAAACGAGCGAGCCTTACAGTAGTCGCGTATGATGTGTAACATTTGAAACCTCACCTTATATTAGTAAAAAAAGAAATAAAACCTACTACAAAAGGAATAAGCCATTTGAACATTATGTTCTAAAATCAAATCATATAGCGCGCGCTTTTGCGACTTCCTGTTACACACTTCCGTCCCATTTTACGAAATTCAAATTGCAGGAATTACACATTACACATCAATAATTATTATTTTTCTGGGAATAGACCTGGCCCAACATGAAACACCTCCTTTACATAAAATGATTTAGGTTAATACAAACTAAACTCTTATAAAAAACAACTTAGACGATAGATACCGCACCGAAACCGAGCCGGTCAAGAAGTATTTACCGAGAACCATCTCGGTAAATACAAATTTTTGACAACTCCGTAACTTGCCGCCATCGTGAAATTTTGTATGGAAAAGGCTAGTTTATTGCAAGGTCCGATATTGCTGCACAGTGTGTTATTTTGCCTTAGTTGCGGACATGCTCGTTTTATGTGTTTTTTGGAAACCTAACAATCAAACAAAACTTATTACAACTCAGCCGGCTATAACTACTATAGTTTAAGAGAAAAAAATCGAGAAAAATCCATAAAAACCATAGAAACGCAATATCTCGTTTTTGGATTTGATTTTTACACACACCCCCTTAATAACCGAAGACTACGGTTGGATTAGTTACTCCATGTTTTGTCTCAGTCTATTGAATGACAAATGGCATTTAAGTGACATGAACAAAACACGGCGTTACTAGTCTAAGCTTATCCCTTGTTTATTAATAAGGGGGTAAATGTTTTAAGGTATTAGCATTTTCTTTTTCTATGATTTTGCATTTTTTTCTCGCGATTCTCTTCATGGTCGCCTTGACCGCTATAATAACTTGCACCACAAAAAGAAACAGATGCAACAAACCCAGGATTTCGGAAATATTGAATTTTAAAACTGTGGGTTAGGGTTGTTAATCAAACCTTTGTGATTCATTATTTTTGACTCAGGTATTAGCAATTGTCAGTTTTAATTGTGACGTACATAGTTTCCATAGTTTATGTACCTATCAACGGAAAAATAGTGCAGAAAATTAAAGTCAAAATTTAAAAATATTTATGGTTGAAATCGATCACTACTTTCTTTTAGTACTGAAAGCTTGTAATAAAACAAAAGGGCATCTACTTATTATTCTTTATAACCACTTATTATTTTTTGTGACTTGTGTGTAATGCGTGACAGCAATAGTTTTTTCAAATACCTATTTCGAGATTAATCAAAAAATGAAATGTAACATCTACTATTTATAATCTATGAAACTTAAAATAATATGGTTAAAAAACATACTGGGAGGTTTAGTTTTTTTGCGTCCACCGGTTGATGAAAGGGCCATGCTAACTTGTGTTTCCAAACAGCCTTCATAACAGTTTTTTGAAGGAACTGCAGTTGATTGGTCACTCGCCCTTGTCTTCGCGGGGCCTCTTCAGGCGGCGCCCCATTGACCGGTTCCGCCGTAGGCTGATAAAAACCATTAGGTTATTTAACATGATGGACGGCACTATTATAAGAATGACAAGATATTCTTAATCAGTGTTTTATAAATTGTATTTACCTATGTCTAAACTTACCGTACTGGTTGTAGCAAGTGGATCAACAGCTTGCTGCATTGTGCTGGAATCAGCAATCTACCTGCCAAAATTGTATAGCCACTGTAGTAAGATATTGAGAAATGTTTAAAAGAGATCTATTTCACTAAGTGTCCTAAAACTCTCACCTCAATTGTAACAAGAGGTTCATCCAATTTCTTACTCTGAGGCATCAGCTGAATCCTCCTCTGATGACACAATAATTTACTATCATAATAATATTGCTTTAGGTGCTAGTGCACCATCATAAAATTGATATCATTCATAAACAAGTATTTACTACCTGAAAACCATTACACAGACAAATTTTTTACAAGTGCATTGTATTAAAAATATTAAAATATGGAAGTATGTATTTTAAATTTACCTTCTTTGGTAGTAGTTTTAATTAGCACCTAAGTACTTCCTTTTATCCTTGGTTAGACAGCAGAGTAGAACTCGTGTTCTGTAAAAAAGGAGAAACTTGTTTTTATAAAAAAATCAATTCAAGATACACATTGTTATTTGTTATTTCAATGTTCAAATATCATCAACTAAATTAGAACTACATGAGATTTAGTGAATTACTTTGTTTGCATTGCATTAACTTAAAAAATGCAATTACTTAATAGGCATAATTTCGTTTGTTAATTGTTCTGCAGCTTTTTTAAATACTAACCCCCTTAAAGATCATTTAATAGCTCATTAGTAAAGTTGGTTGAATTAGTAAATTCTTTATATTGTTTTCTTTTCAGGCAAGCATCAGATATGATTAAAAACGAAATTTATTAAAGCAAATTTAGGTATATGAGAATTCAATTCCTTTTTTAACATGAGCTTTTTTAATGACAAATAATATCATATTTTTATTATTACGCATTCTAAGTGTACATGATATAATTATTATATATAACAGCATCTTTGTTTATTTTGTGATTGATGATGTCACAAAAATAAGGTTATCATATAATTCCATTTATTTGAAACATCACACATTTCCACACAATAACCCACTACAACAAAGTCTGGTTAGAATACAGTCAAGGAAACCAAGTCTACACATAAAAGGTAGTTGCACGAATGACCAACAAGAACCAATGATTGCCATCCCTTTGGTGATCAATAAAAATAAGGGTAGGCAACCAATCACTAAACATGTTTACACCAAGCTTCTATAACTCGATGTTATCACACTCGCCAATGGGCCACCAAAATATAATGGTGGCTCCTATTAGTCATTGGTGCCACTACCTTAGGCTGTGATTCTCTGGACCAAATTATCAAGTGATATCTTAAATGTCAAACTATTTGTCCATCCTAAACATCATCTAAAATAAAATATAAACTATTTTAACAAACCTTTTATGAAATCTATGCAGAAATATGACATTTAAGAAAAACTTACAAATATGGTTTTCAAAGGTTTAATTTAAAACTTTTGATGACTATGAAATTAGTTAATGATAATTTAGCATAATTAAAACTGCTTTATGTTAAATAGATTAAATGAAAATTTACAGATAATTTTGTAATTAAATGAAGGAACTAATTAGTAAACTTTTACTCAATGATTTCCAAATAATTAAATAACTGTACATGTAGCAATATAAATTTCCTAATGCTAAGGCCACATTATAAATGCAAAGGTTAAGAGGCAAGCTAGGAGCTATGTAAGTCATCTAGGTACCTGGGCTTCTCTCACTTTCGTAACTGCAATAGTATGCACTACAGCTGAGACTATATTAGCCTAACTTATTTTACTCTTACAATTGTTAACCTCCCATTATATTTCATTGGATTTAATTTCAGTCCTTGTTAAGTTAATTAGGAACTAACAGAACCTTTATACTCTAGTTGAAGCCTTTATATACCCCAGTAAGGACGGTAGTATCCAGTTATGAAAAAATAAGTTGCATTATTTAGTATTTGTATTAGAAATATTTGAGAAAGCATTTGTATCGCCACCATCACCTTCTCCAATGTAAGGACATGCTAAATCTATTTGTTTCTTAGATTTTCACGCACATCACTCATTAAATAAAACTAGTTTTAACGGGTTAATGTACAAAACTTTACTTATTTATTGATGTTTCGCAGCCTTTTCAGGTCTGCTTCCTCAGAATAATGATTTTTTATTTAATTTTTAATTAATCTATTTTGCTTTATTATCTATAAAGCAATAGCTAACCCGTGTAAATAAAATATGATACTACTATAGGTTGTATACATACATAGAGGTCTGTTTTCAGTCTAAGGGCCTATTTCAAAGAGAAATGTAAATTGGCATTAGTCAGTGTGTTACCAGAACATGAATTTAACTACGATTTCAAAATTCAGTCTGTTCATTTATACCTGCTTCTTTTGTAAGCAACTGTAGATAGAAGATTTTATTCAAGCCACTAAGGCCCACTTGCATGTTAAGTTCTTAACTCAAGTTTAAATGTTAATTAGGTATAAGCCACATTTTATCTTTTATTGACTCTAAACAATTAACAAAGATGGAATGATGTGCTAAATATGATTAAGTCTTTACTTTTCAAGAACTACTTACTACCACTTGTAGTATTTTTCTTTCTGTTACAAATAAATTAATATTATGATCTTAATTTAAAGTGATTTAGTTGATACTGAAAAATAGTGTCAAAACTGGCAGGTAATATTGGTAACATCTAGGCATATTTTAGAATGTATATTTCTTAACCCTAGTAATTATTGACCACAACCATTGACAAAGTTCATGCAGTAGTCATTTTCAAAGAAAAGGTCTCCTGTGCAAGTCATCTTCTTAAGAATTCAAAACACATTATGATATGGTGGCATTGCATTTTTATGCATAGTCCTTACAGCACAAGGTCCATTATGAAGGTGTGACAAATCCTTTCATGTGGACTAGACAGCAACAAAATTTGATCCCTAACATGTGAAGCTAAAGGTTCTATTATGAATGTATGACTACTGCACAGTGTATTGCGCATCATTGTAATAATTTGAAGTTCACACGTGATTTGTCGTATTGAAAATGTATTGACTAGTTTTACCTTTGAAAATAAAAATAATGGATTAATATTTTCATTTCAGCTAAAATTGAGTATTCAGCTAATATTATTGGTGCATACTGTTTCAGGGCCATATTAAAACTCAATGGACAAGTATAAAAGCACATGCATTTTGTATTTATATGAAAAGATGGCACTAATTTAACAATTAGTTATAAACTACCACACCAGAAGCAAGTCAGTTGTTAATGAAGAGCAGGTACTTTGGATCCAATTTAACGAGGTATTGGTTCAATGTAACCCAATTTTTCAATAACAACCATTCTAACAAAATAAAATTTCATAAGTAATCAGGTTCTATTAGGGTTAGATACAGTAAAAAAACTCAATGTTAACAGACTTTATCAAGATTTATTCATTTAAAATAAAAAGTTTCTGTTTAAATTGAACAAAGATGTGAATGGCCTTCATGAAATTAGCAAAGCCATTCTTCATTGAAAATTTAGAATTAGGTTTGTTTAAAATGAAAATAATTCTCATTACTAACTTAATAAAAATAAAACAGTAACAATTCCCAATACATTTAAATACAAGATATTATAGTGAACTCATCATGTACGAAAGTCAGTGCACACTTAAGTAAAGAAACTTACTTTCTGTCATTGATTGGACTTGGATTTAATACAATTCATGATATTCTTGAAAATAAAGGATAAAATTGTTTGAGAGCAGAATAATAGCAAGTTATTAAGTTATGACAAAAAGTTCACTGAATTTTAATTCTGTATAGAACTGAAATTTATATTTTTGTAATGTTAACACATGAATGTTGTAATGTCTAATTCTAAAACAGCATAAATCAAATATATAAGTTTTATATTAATAAGGTACTAATTTTAAGTGCTTGTAAATTTTAAAATATGTTATTTATAAACTTATGTCAAAAAATTCTATCACAAATACATTTGAGCAAGACAGTAAACATTTCTTGTAAGTAAGCATAAATTAACATGCATGCATGACTTCAACTCAATTTTTGATGTAAATTTTTCACCACATTTTATATTTTGATGATTACCTACTTCATACTGAGAAAGATATATCAAAAGTCTACAACAACCATGGGTGGCAGAATATACATCATGCATTCTTGGGTGAAACAATGCACCCAGTGGCATTAATTTACCTGTTCTAGAATGTTCTTTATTTAGAAATAAAAATTGTAGTTTGCAATTTTGCAATGTTATTGGTTTCTACAGGTCAATAATAATTTTAGTATGATACAACTTTTGCGATGAATAGAAATAATTAATAACAGTACAATACTTATCATATTCAGCAAAAAGTATAGATGGTGTTTGCTTCTGGAGGACGAAAACGCAAACTTAGAAAGTATAACCTATCTACAATGGCAATAACTAGAGCTTCAACGAACTACTTAGAAATAATACAAATAAGTTTTCTCGAAATGACAGAATTCTCACGCAGGCAATGTATAGAAATTAGGTGAAAAGCTCCCCAAAGGAGGCCAAGATTATGAATAGGAAAATTCTGTTGAAATCGGGAAGTGTTGCGAGTAACTTATAAACAAAACGAAACGCAATGTAAGAGACTACAAAAATCACATTAAATTTTATATTAACTCTAATTTTATAGCTAAGAAACTGTGAAAAAAGACTTACGAAAAGATATTAACGCCAATATGGCGGACGAACTAAAAATACGATGTCGGGATGTCGGGAGTACCTTCCCCACAAGGCATCTATTGATTTGTTCTCATAGATCAAACACTCCACACAAAGTCCAAGTTCATAGTTAATAACAATTAAAGGTACTTCATGGCTTCAAAACAACACAATCACTGTCTTTTTAAACAATAAAGAACAGCACAGCACGAATTACAAAGACGCAGCCGAACATAGACATGGCGGCCAAGCTTCTTTCTAGCAAAAGACGTGAGCGTCGTTTTCTAATAATTTCACTTAAATAAGCTGTAAAGAAAAATACTATAAAATTGGCATACTAAATTGAAAAAAACACATTTATAGCATATTTTCATACACAGATGACATAGTTTATCATAAATTTTCTTGGATACAAATTTTAAATCTTTACGAGTGATTCGTAAATTGAAAATGAAAACCACAGACTATAAAAGGCAGTGCTGCCAGATTTTAATTTCACTGTACCCTACAATTGTATAATATTATTGTATTTAATTTACTATCAGGTGGAGGTTGTCTAATTCTGTTTTAGTAGTAGTTGTAGTTAGCTGTAGCTGTAGTTTATTGAGGTTAAATCTTAGATTAAAATAAAAAGGGTAGATACGGCACTAGCCTCACAAAAGTGATCCGCATGAATTGTGGTCCACGACCCTAATCGCTTTAGTCACAACCTGACATGCAAACGACGTACATGTGAACTCCAAAAAGAAATATTGCTAATATTTTTTGTTTATATGATAAAACAATGCCTAAGTGTGTTTTTAAAAAGTGCTCAAATTGCTCAAGAACTAAAAATAAAACCCACGGCATCTCTTTTCATTCGTAAGTACTTTAAAATATATTTTTTCATAAAAATTGTTGTTTGTTTTGAATTTTATTCGGCAGTGACGTCGAGTACTGGTCACGTGATTGGTCGGTAGTGCAGTGACGCGGATCTCGCCGTCTCGTTCGCGCTGCCGATGCCGTTGAAAATTAACGTGCTGTTTCGTTCGGGTCGGTAATGCAGTGAAGCGGATCTCGCCGTCTCGTTCGCGCTACCGTGGGATCAGTTTTTGTTTGATGCAAGTATGAGCGTACCGTATCTACCCTTTTTGTTTTAATCTAAGGGTTAAATAGGCTAGTTGACTCATGTCGAATTGTATTAAATAAATGTTTATTTCTTAAAGTATTTGGTCTAAGGAACCTGAATACATCGATTTCACTTCATAAAAGCAGAAGATTGCTGTAGAAATTTAATTTTAAAAAATATTTTTTAGTCTATATTTTTTAAACACTAAAACCACTGTTCGCCAGTCCGCCATGATTGTGACGTCTCTTGTTGTAGTAAACAACTAAATGTCATTCGTGTGTTACTGTGGGTGGATTCTTTCGTCTGACTAAATTTATCTTAAAACACTTTTAACTTTAGAAAAGTTTCCGTTTACGCTTTGTGAAAGCAGAAAGCACAAATCTGCCAAGAATTGACGCATTGATGGTTGGTGAATTTTTGGTACTAAACCCCGATTTCTGCTCTGCAGAGCAGAGAAACGACAAGGCATCTATGTAAATACAGTGCATTTAGTATTACAATGTAGTAATAAACATAAAACTGATACAACATATGAATAAGTGTAATAAAGTTGCATAGGTTAATTTCTTTCGGCACTTTAATCCACAACTTTCCTGGAGTCTTCAAGGATGTGTTTTTATATTCTCGTACAATACAATAGTGATAATTACTTTATTTTACGTGGGTTTTCATGTTTTTTTTATTATAAACTCAGATAGTTTATTTCGTACGTGCTTACGAGTTTTTATTTACTACAGGTTGACATCATAGCATAGATAATTTATAGACTAAAATGGCCGACAGCGTTTTTGTATGTCCATGAAAAGTCTATTTTAAAATTAAAGATTTGTAGCTTTCTAAGTCTCAAAAAACTACAATATATTTTTTTTCGGTCTAATAGAACATTTATTAACCATTTAAAACCTTTTTCCAAAAAGGGTCAACTAGCCTATAGTGTTTCATAAAGTTTATTCCTTTACTTCAATATTTTTGATAATAAGTAGACAATGGTGTCGATTCTAGCATGATTCTCTAAATCTAAACTTAAATTTGACAGCAGTATATCCTTGTCATTCTCTATACAGAATGAAAAGGAGAGACTGATGTTAAATTTAGTTTTAAGTTTAGATTGAGAATCACGCCAGAATTGGCACCATTGGTGTCGATTCTAGCATGATTCTCTAAACCTAAACTTAAATTTGACAGCAGTATATCCTTGTCATTCTCTATACAGAATGAAAAGGAGAGACTGATGTTAAATTTAGTTTTAAGTTTAGAGAATCACGTCCGAATCGACACCACTGGTGTTGATTCTAGCGTTACTCGGTCGTGACACGTCTTTATAAATCAATAGTAGCCCGCCCTCGCTTTGCTTCGGTGTAGAGCTGTAGTGTAGACTATAGATTTTGTTCAAAGGCTTGTATTATAAACCTTCTTCATAATAATTATAAACCTTCCATTCCTAGTAAAAAAAATGTTGAGTAGTTTAGGACCCGTTGTACCGAATGCAACATTGCTCTGCTGTTCCGATTTGAAAAATTCTTTTGTATTGGACAGTGCATATATCGAGGAAGGCTATAGGCTATGTATATTACCCGGCTACGACCAGTAGCAGCGGAGCATCGATAAAAAATGTTGCAAAATCGGGTAAAAATATTCTTTTTGTGAGATTCCGTTGCGTGCGCTGGGTAAACGGTTAAAGTTACACAAAAATCATGTATAACGGAATTCTTTCCCTTTAAAAGTCCTGTAAAAAAGCCCACGACAGCCTATGTCTCTATTTTAAGTTTGACTCACTATAAACCTTTTTCTTCAAATTAACACGGGTGAAATCGCGGGGACCTCTAGTTGTGACATAACTCTAATAGTTAGACATATGGTATAGCGGACTTTTTTGTAGATATTGGTATCCTCTATATAACTTTAGTACATCACTTTGCTCTATTGTCAAAGACTTCCGCAGCGAAAGCGGTATAAGGCTTTTTTTAGGTATTCTTTACACACGTTGGTTTACATTATCGAAGTTTTCATACGGAACCCTAACTTTTTTGAAAATACACTATAGCCTATATTGATCAGTGACAATGAAGCATTCAAATGGTAAAAGAATTATTAAAATCGGTCCAGTATTTTTTGAGCCAATGAAGAAGTTTTCATTTTTTTATAGATAAATTATAAAAATTTAAGCAAAATAAAACAAACACGTGAAAGAATTAATAAAATATCTCAAGAAATTAAAAAGATATGGGACTTTGAAGTTGCGTTTGCAAGAATAATTTTATTACACGCGGCGCTCCATCGTGTGACGTCATTTGACCTAGACGACGCAGCACGTATTCGCTGAGTACGTGCGAATGTATTGTTGTGTAGTTGTTTGCGCCGTTTGATTCGCATTTTGTTTATTACCCGATGGCAGAAGTTAAAAAAAATGCCTACAAATATTGTAAATAATACAAATAATATAACAACAAGGAAAAAATGGTGCAAAGTAATGAAGCGTGATTTACTTTTTCTGATCGATGTACCTATTGAATCGTAAATAGGTCCGGAATAACTTATTCAGTAAAAATAACTATATATTTTATGTAAATATATTTGTTATTTACTTCATATGTATGTAAACAAACGACAGTACGTAAATAAACACGAACGAAGCAAGAACCCTAGCGCAACTCGGAAACTAATACTTGAATGATTCGTGGTGCGGTGATATTGAATAGGTCAAATGACGTCACAGGCGAATCAGAAACCACAGACGTTCCGTACTAAAATACGTAAACTTCAATAATTTATTTCTAAGTCATTTATAGATGGATTTCAAAAAATTTTTCAGTGATTAATTACTTTTGATCTATATTTTAATACCATCACGTTAAATATAATATTAACAACATCATGAAACTTCTCCATTCGTTACATACTTATATACAAACCTTTCCTCATTATTATATTAGTATAGACAGGTACGGGACTGGCTCGGTGACCGTGCTACGCCTAAAGCTCGGCTCGGACTCCAAACGGTCTAGCGTCACTCATCATCCTTAATAGATTTGTCAGGTACCAAAATCCAGTTGGTACCTATATTTGGATTTAGAAGTAGTCCCCCACCTTTTTTTAAAAACAAATACTTAGAGCATGCTCTAAGTAAAAATAGGTTTCCCAAAGTTCTCCCCGCAGATTTAATTTCCCCAAGTTCACATTTTTCCCCAAAATAAGGATAAACACTCCCAATCTAGACACCCTAAGTACCACAGAGTATACAAGTGTTTTCTCTTTAATATTGATTAATAATTTCTTATACAGAAAAATAAAAAAACTTATGCTATGTTTCCATATTTCAAAGATGATGAAGAACAACAAAGAAATGAAATAATTCAATATCACTAAATAGTATTTATTGATACTTTGAGTAAACCGATAATTACCGATGCAATGCTTTTACTTAGGTAAGATTAGTCTGTGAATTCCTTAGAGCCAATGGAAATGCCATACCGTTCGCTCACCTAACAAATATTTCACTATTTTTGGTGCGGGTCGAGGAACACACGTATAGCCTTAGATAAAGAATCCTAGGATTCTTTATCTTAGCGTATAGCACACTAATGAGAATATGCAATACTTTCACAAACACGAGCGTGTTGTTATTGCTATAAAAAAACGCACACTTCAAAAATTACGTCACACAAACAAAAAAACGCGGAGTTTTTGGCGGGATTTCATCGAGTGTGGTTGGCGTCTTATTTTAATTATTCTTAAATTCGTTCATAGTGGATATTGTGAAATAAAATTGGTGTGATTTTGTGTTACAACTGTCTGCGTAACTGAAGAATTAGTAGAATCGTCAAAATATACGCTATTCCGGTCAAGTGGACGCGAGAGGTAGTCAATACTACAATAAATATTGTAGTATTGACTACCTCACAGAAGCTTATCGAAAAAGGCAGCTCGATTTATTTGGTGCCAAACACTTCAAGAAACACTAGAATGCGTCACACCGACATTCTAATGTAAAAAGAAAAACAGAATAATTTAACTTAAGACTAAGCTGTATGGGCATTGTTCCCCTTGCCTTCCTTGAAAAGAGAAAACTTAACCAAAAAAAAAACAAAAACAAAAAAACGCACACACTGGCACACACGCAGGGTACGGCCAGAGTGCACTCAGATTCAGATTCAGATTCCGAAAACAAGCGCGAGAAATAAACAGTGTAATTAAAGCAGGGTGGCCATAGTGGCCGCAGGCAACCTGCTTAAACTACACTGTATATTTCTCGCGCTTGTTTTCTGAGTCTGAATCTGAATCTGAATCTGAGTGCACTCTGGCCGTACCCTTAGGGTGCGGCCAGAGTGCACTCAGATTCAGATTCAGATTCAGATTTCGAAAACAAGCGCGAGAAATAAACAGTGTAGTCGAAGGGTACGGCCAGATTGCACTCCTGATTTAGATTCAGATTCAGACTCAGAAAACAAAGCGCGAGAAAAAGCAGGCAACCTGCTTAGACTACACTGTTTATTTCTCGCGCTTGTTTTCAGAATCTGAATCTGACTCTGAATCTGAGTGCACTCTGGCCGTACCCTTACAATATACACACGCTAACTTAAAGCATTATTACCTAGAGACGGCATGGACGGGCGAAATGCCGCCAAAACGATCATGGCCATAAGCCATGGCCAGTCAGGAAGCACATCTGCCCAAAATATAATTCTGAATAAATAACTAAACTACTTCTAAACTAAACAAAATCAAATCCAGTAGTTTAAAATTCTGGTTAGTCGCTCTAACAAGGCTATTTCAACAGTCAAGATACATTAGATATTCTAGAAGAAAAATGTTTCCAATAATTGGTCCCAATTCTTAAAATACCTTTGTTGCTTAACTATGTTTTTATTTAAATAAACTTTTTGATCAGACGGAGTTTTTTTAAATAAGTTGAATATGAGTATTTATAGAATTTATAATTTTAAATGGAGCTGATTACGAAACAACATTTTTCTCGAGATCCAAGAATATTATTAATATTTCAGATTTTGGAACTATGCAGTCCTAATGGCGCTGTAATCACGGCAACTTAAAAGATCGAGTTTGTGACTCGCCGACATCTTAAAGTACTTATCTGTTTTAGCCAGACAGCTTCTATGGAACTCCAAGTTTCTGGAAGTTGAATATCCTCAAGTTGTATTATGTGTCGGCCCAGATGAATAGTAATTAGGTACCACTTTTGTGGATTACAATAAAATACGCTTCTACATATAATATAAATTGTGTTTTAAAAACTCTAAGGAGTAAAAATAATATAAGTTATGGCGAAAATAATTATTTGATTTGTCTAAAAAACTTAAAATTCCCTTTATTACAGAACCATAATATATTTTTTATCTCCTGAACTATAGAGAAATACGATTTGCAACATCCAAGAACAAACGTTCGTGAGTATTTCGTAAACGTTATTTTTTTCACGACATAATAATAATCACGGTGCAACTAAATAAAATCTAGGCTTGTGTGATGGCATTTTCCTCTTAATTTGACTTTTGGAAGTTATTAAAAAAAGTTTGTTACTTAAAAGGTAAAAAAAAGTCGCTCGATGTGGGCAGCTGACCTGATAACTAACTACTTAATTTGATTTACTTTCTTCTGCCTATACGCTGTTTACATCAATGTATTGCCAGTAAACAAACAAACAAAATAAAAAATAGTAAGTTAATCCGGCGTTAATGTCGATTCCGGCATAATTCTCTACTGTCGCGACGGGCAAACTTGACCAAGTCGCGAAATGTAAATATTGGATATGGCAACAAAATCCTGTAATCTGTGGTGAGTAACATTAATCTGTGGTTCGTAGCTCCGCGGTTTTTTACCGGTCAGAAAAGTTTTCTTTTCCTTTTCAACTCCGGCTGAAATGTGTGCTGTTTGCGAGATTCTGGATATGAGAGCTAAGTATCTTCCCCGAGTCAATTAATTACTATTGCCCATGTGATGTGTATCATATGATTTTACTTGTCGATTGGTCGGTCGGAAGAAAGACTTACCTATATTAAGAGCAGTCCATTCGTAACATAGATCGGCGATTGTACTGGCGAACGCTTGCGGGTGTTGCGCGGGATGATGTTAGCCAGAGGAATGGCTTACCTATGATACGAGCAGTACAATTGTAACATAGATTGGCGATTGTACTGGCGAACGCTTGCGGGTGTTGCGCGGGATGTTAGTCAGAGTGCACTTGACTGAACATACAAGGAGGCCAAGAGAGTGTGTGCGAGGGCTGCTCGACACACCTTTTACTCCACGATGAACAAGGGAGGCCAAAATGAGTGTGTGTGAGGGTTGCTCGACACACCTTGGCTTCATGATCAAAGGCTTATGATAATCAAACGGGATACGCGAAAAGTGTCCTATGCCAATCATGAAATGTTATGTAAAATGAGTAGAAAATCGACGTGAATCTATATGTGAATATTGATGTGTGTGTACATATAATGTATAGGTATTAATCATGGCGAGGAGGATGCTTAGTGTCTCAACTCTGAGATTCATAGTATAATTTCTTTATACAGGTTCCTTGATGATCTTGACAATTGACGATGGGAATAAATTGAACTAAGCGAAACAGATATCTTTACCAAATTTAACACAAGACAGAATAAGGTATGAAACATTAATATAACTTGCACTAGTATAGTAACATGTTTAAATTGTTTAATGCCGAAAGTATGAATAATCGCGGTCTGTCTCAGTCCATTGTACACCCTGTTGGTGCGGGTTGTAGGTAGACGATGAGACATGTTTGGTTCTGTGTGGTTTCTGGTTGAACCTCTAAAGAATGTGTCAGTATTTGGTAGTTAATATAATTCATTGCACTAGGTGTAAAGATAGAATAAGAAAACCACACAGAATGCCCACAGAGTCTCTACGCGACACTCTATAGCTTAAATTTTTGACAACAATATATCCTTGTCTTTCTCTATACAGAATGAAAAGGAGTGACTAATGTTAAATTTAGTTAAGAGAATTATGTATGCCAGAATCGACACTTAATAATTGTTTAAATATTTTATGTGGCTATTTACCGGTATCGATATATAGTACTTTTTATACATATTATCATTATACCATTCAATAATTTCATTCATTTTTCGTCACATCACTATGAATTTCTACCTATTATTTTTGCCATTCATTCGTGATTTCGTGCCTTTTCTTTTAATTGTATTTTATACCTGAAAACTAACTTTTTAGAACTTAAAAATACTTGTATATGATAGGAAACACCATGTTTTAGCAAGATTGAAGTGGCAGATCGGCTTTTTGCGTGGGAAAACAACATAATTTTCCATTTTTGTGGGACCTCCGATTCACGCTGCGGTACGATCCAAAATGGTAGCAATCGCACGTAAACTACTTTAATATAACGATCATGGCCAATGGCCATGGTAGTTCTTTATGCTGGAGGGGTTCGTCTGTCCATGCCATCTCCAGTGGTATATACTCTAAGGTTTAACAGCAAATTTCATAACATTTTGGCATTTTAATCTGTAACAAGCTCAAGACCGATCTCAGTGGCGTGCAATTGGAGAGGCCTATGTCCAGCACTGGACTAAGATAGGCTGTTGATGATTTGTAACATACACTCGCGCGACTTGAATCAGTCTAGTGAAATATCCGTGAGCAACTTAGTTTTGTTCGTGAGCTGGCCCAACAGTGGAAGAAAATCGATACAGGGGAATGCTGTGAATGCCAACTCCCCTCCAGACGCCGTCGGCTGCGTTACTCATTTCACATTATGAGAATAGTATTTATAGGTGGTTTTCCGTGTTGAAAAAAAAAGTCAATGTTTGTACTTTCATCCATATTTATATTTAATTTTTAACACAGTTTGAATTAACTTTGATTATTTAAAAAAAAACTATGATGAAACGAAAGTTTTAATAATTTTTCAACAATAAATAATATTACTAACGATAACATATAAATAAAACATTTCGATCAATGCCAACTTAAAGAAAAAATACTTGTTAATTTTCTGTCTCTGAGTTGGTACGATTGCACGCATCACACGAAAGCATTACTTTTGAGAGTGCTCAATTGTGCGAAGCGTTGCTGTAGTTGGAACACTCAACGTTAAGCATTATGCCGCATAATGCGCTATAATGCTGTAATTGGAAAGCTACCATAGCTATTTCAGGTAGCTTCTGTTCCTTCATTTCTTTCAATTCAAACTGTGTTAAAAATTAAATATAGATATAGATGAAGGTACAAACATTGACTTTTGACGTGACAACGTCTTAAATTAGGTTGCGGCTGGGAGTCACTTATGAAAAAGTGTAACGCTCGGTAACGTTACGATGAGTCTCTCGTGTTAAGTTTAAGTTTACATGTACAATGTTTTAGTAAACAAAATATATTTCTATAGTTAAAATTTGTGCAATTCTTATTTTCATTCAATTCCTTGTTCCTATTGTGCAATTTAATTATATTCATATCAATAAATATTCTACCGAGAAAAAGACGTTGTCACGTAAAATCTTCGCCCGTAAAACCGACTTTACAGGCAACCATTTTTTTTTTAACACTGAACTTAGCGCACTCTGCTGGTGCATTTTAAAACTAATTCACGTTCCAATTAAGCATCAGCATAATTCGGCATTGTGCGGCACTGAACCGCATTATGCTCTGTAATTGGAAAACCACCTCAGTTTTACTCCAAATAAAACCGAATTTGATATTTTTCTCGAATTCTTGATTAAGTCTAGTACATGAGAATTGTCCCCCATGGTCTTTAGTCATTGTCACACTTGACATATGTCATTGTCATGCCAGGTGTGAAGTGTCAAGCAATGCAATGACGTTGATTTGAGACTAATTATTTGTCATCTATGAGATTTGATTTGATTTGACTGTACGTAATAGTGATAGTTTGGCTAGTTTTGTTTTGTAATAATGATTTTTACTTTATAGTATTAAATATATTGAAATGTGTTTACAGTGTCACTTAAATTAACAGCAAATACTGAGTTAAAAATTTACTTGTACTTTCACGATTTTACTTCATTGCCTGACCTGCAGAAGGTAAGCGAATGTCGCTCGTTCATTATATAAACTTAGCGATTAGCTAGTGCAAATATTCAAGTTACTTTATTTTCAATCATTTTAGCATCGTTAAGGACTTAAGCTATCCAGGATAATCACTTGGCTAGAAATAAAATTTGTTGTGGGTATCCAGAAGAAATTCTTCTGTTTTTACCATTACAAAATATAATATTATTTTAAGAAGCTATTTTCAAGAATAGGATGATTAAAATCATGTTATTAAATTTCTAAAATGAAAAAATGGAAAATCTTACGAGGTATTATCAAGATTCATAGATGAATAATTATTGAATTGCATAATAACATGACAGGAATATCAAATTGCATATATACATTTCACTTCATTTCTGGTAGGGAATTTGTGTCCTTACAGATGGAATAATAAGTAGGTACTTACATTATATTAAATCTGATTCTTTACACATATCACAAGTTTAGATTCAATACTAATACCTAAAGCATTAATATTTTAATTTAATACTCTGTACTAATAAGAATACTTTGCATCAAGTATCGAATTGATTCAATCATGCCATTCAAACTTTAAAAAAAAGGTATTACTTTAAAAAGAAATATTATTGCAGTGATTTAAATAAAGTGTTAAAGAGACTACTCCTGAATAGGGTCAGTTCGCCTGTTCGCGTCCATTTAGTGCAGTTGGAAAGTTTGACGGCGATAATAAAAATATCCCAGCACTAATAAATAACAGCTTCTATGAAAAATTTATGTAATGTGTTCGAAACATGTATTGTTTTTTATTTAAATAGATAAACTTCGGAATAAGGCGTTTTACCCACTTTGCGTCCACAAAATCCAAATTGCGTCCACCTGTGGACCATTTAGCGTCCACCACCTCAGAAAAGAAATATAGGGGCGATATTTTTAAGAATTTGTATAGAAAGATTGTACCTATTTTAACAATTTCTTTATTTTAGAATATAAATATTAAAACCAACATTTTTATCATTAAAATTATCACTTTAGAAAATAAAAAAATATTCTCCTCAATATTATATATATATATATTCTCCTAAATTTTCAAAACTCGCACGGGAATCAAAACCTACAGGGTACTTCCCGTGAACTTCTAATCTTGAAATTTGGTACGAAGTAACGTCTTATAGTACAGATAAAAGAAAAATTGCGAAAACCGTAAATTTTTAGTTACATCATATAATAAAAAATATTTTTGTAGTGAAGACTTCTTTAGCGGCGTTGTACACTTTTTTGTAATGGGCAGAAAATGTCAAACTTGCGCCACGTGATCTAATCGAACATTTGTAAGACGAAAACAATAAAAGAAAGGAAAGAAAAGGTTGTTGGCTTTCAATATATTGGATGAAACATAGTAATATTTTATTTTATCGTAATATAATTATAAATCTCTAGGACATCCAGGTGGCAGCTTTATTGCGAAGAAAATGCATTTTTTTTTTACAATAGATGTCGCTTGGTGCGCTTAAATGTGTGATTCATGTAAGTTGATTTTTCTGAGAGATAAACTTTTTAATATAATATAAATTGTCTTGTTTGTGTACGATAGCGCAATAAATAAATATTGTATTCTACCACATAAATGATAGTACTTTTATACTGATTATAATAAAAGCAATTCGTGCAAAATTATTCCCTAACCATTCCAAAATATCAAAATTGCACAATGTTAATATTCAAGTTTTCACTTCTGCCGGCACTCCCGGAGTGCAACCCGTCGTTTTATTAAACATATGTACCTACAGGTTTGTACGGAGCCCGCGGTACGCCGGTTTTTCTACAACCTGTATACATATCTTAAGCGTGCATTAGCACCGATCCCAAAAATGTTATTTTATCTTTTGAATCAAGATACTGGAGTTAGTTTAATTCTTCTATGTGAAATATTAGGCTTTATGTTAAATTTTTTCATCACCTATGTCTACAACGCCTATAAACCTTTTCGTATCCCATAACTTTTTCTGCCGAAACACCATATCATAAGAACATATGTGCGCAAATGAGTTTATGCGGAGACACTTCGGACATTTTTGTAAAGCTTTGAACGCTTCTTTAGTAAATCCAGGTTCGATACTTTTAACATGGATGTACCATTTAGCCAAGGTTTTTGGAAAAGGCAGACATCTATTAAACACTTTTTTGACATACTCATAGCGTTTTGGAGAATATAAGTTTAAAGTTAGGCAAAATTTTCTTGTAGCAGGAGAATAATTGAATTTCCCTCTATCTTATAAAAATATAAAAAAATAAATCAATGCGTACATCCTCAATAATAACAATTGCTAAATCAATAATATGAATTTATAAAGTTGTGGATTATATGTGGTTTTGTTCATCCTCCGTGGAGTGGTGTGCCAGTGATTTGAGCTTACTTTTGAGCAACTACGGAATGTATGTTAATGAGTGTATTATGATTGATTACCTATGATTGAAAAATGTAATCTAGTAAAAAAATCTAGGTACTGTTTAATAAAATTATAATTTATGAGATGCAGTACAGCCCTGTGACAGACGGACAGCGGAGTATTACTGGTACGGCGGATACGGACGGATTTATTTTAACAAGAACATTTAACTTCATTAAACGACAAATAGATGGGTGGGTAATTTTGTGAATGCGTGCATTGGTATCAAGATTTTTTTCTATCCACGATCACAGTGCGAACAAGTTTTGACTTTCGAAAGTACTTACGCAAGCTTTGTAGTTGGACCAAGCGAAAGTGAACCAAATTTTTATTGAAGTACTCGCGTTGTTAGGTCATTCAAGTAACCTATGTTGTGCGAGTTCTAAGAGGTATATACTATTAGTCTTTTACCTTTGTATCGTTACTAAAAATGTAAAGATATCTCATCTTGGTTTTCCTTAATCATTTAATAGAATGATAAACCACCCACCACAAAATTTTCTACCTAAATAAAGTTTCCTTATTAGAAAACCAACATATAAATCAGTTAAAAAATATACGAGGAAGATTTTGCTTTTTTCTTCATAATATTATTTCCTATCAATTAACGTGTACTCAGCTTTTATCTTAGGTTCTTAGTTCATTTTGCATGACGACATGTTTTACCTGTCGAGAATACCTATGTAATTTTTTACATAAACTTGGGATTCTGTTTTTTAACATTAAAAATGTTTTTTCGTTCGCTCCCTTAGATTAAAACAAAAAGGGTAGATACGTTACGCTCATACTAGCATCAAATAAAATATGATCCGACTCAACTACATAAGCAACTCTCACACATGCACATGCCTGTAAATAATATTCAATCGAGCGAGCGAGACAGAACTGGGGGCCATTCGCCTAACGGAAATGCTTTGGAAAACGCTAACGCTTACGATTTCGTTTTGTTATTTCTAGCCGCCTGAGGTTTTCAAATGCCTCGTGCTCTTTTTTTTCTTTTGCATTGGTAATAACTATATTAAAAAAAATGAGCGTGAGGTATTTGATAACCTTCGGCGGTCAGAAATAACAAAATAAAATCGAAAGCGTTAGAGTTTTCCAAAGCATTTCGGTTAGGCGAATGGCCTCCTGTACGTTTCAACGCAGAGAGAGCGAAACGGCGAATCCGCTTCCGAGTGTGAACGGCTGAGCTGTATTGTTTTCCTTTTCTTGATAACAAAATGGCGATTACGTTAATAACATTCACGAAAAAACCGTGATTTTATGTGAAAAAAAAATATTTTGCAGTTTTACGAATGAGAAGTGTTGCCGAGGTATTGTTTTATCTTCATAACACAGAATATAAGCAATATCGTTATGTTGAGTGCACATGCAGCGTGTTTAAATGTCCAATTGTGACTACAGCGAATTCTGATCGTGCACCACAATTTAAGCGGATCACTTTTGAGCCGCGAGTGCCGTATCTTCCCTTTTTGTTTTAATCTATGTTCGCTCCAGTAGTCCCCCATTTTCGCTGTAAGTGCGACTCGCCCGTGATACCCCGAGGTTTAGGGCCACGAGGACGTAAGAGGGCTCAAAAGACGCGGAATTTGAAGGGCTTTAAGATGTATCAATTATTGGAAAAGTCAAAAACTTTTTTGGAATTCGAAAAAAAAACGACTTTTCGGCCGAAAAATCATGTGTCACAGAAAATTTCCGATACCTCGAGAACGGGGCCGAATTTCAAATATATGAAAAAAAAGCACCTCGGTACTGAACCAAGGAACTTTTTTTTTAAAATCTATAATTGGTCAATTCATTTTCAATGCCCTTTCAAGTCGTATCGAGCATGATATCTGTGATTATTTTTTCTTTCTCGCAATAGGGCGACTAATTGTCCCCATATTGAATTTCCATTACTATCATATCTTTAGTAGCACTCCCATGATTAAGACGAAACGATTGACGATATATATATCATTAAAATCAGTCTACGCGTTTGGTTTCTAGTGTAATAACATGTAGATAATAATGTATGTAGTTATTGACTGAATGGGCCAAAATATAACAAAGTGTCACGTAAGACGGAAAAAAACTCCCATTTTCGAGCCATTTTAGCCCGCACTGCAAAAACAATAAAAGTTACGTGAATATAATGTATAGCGGAAATGTATCTCTTAAATAGTTCTACAAAAAAGTCCGTGACAGCATATATCTATTTTTAATGTGTAAGCCATTATCGCTAAAATAGTGAATCAAAAATTAAATATTATTTGATATCCTTTTCCAAAATGCACATATTGTATTAATAAATTATTAATATCAAAACAAATACTTTGATCGCTTTTGATATGTATAAACAATAAACTTTGCCTTTCACACTATGTCATTTCGTCAAATATCTATTTAAAAAGTTACAACAATGCTGGCAAAGTGATAGCAAGGTGTACTATGCAGGAGTAGACTGCGGGAATGGTGGGAGAAGAAAATGTTGAATTTTTGTGTTTATAAACGTAGATAAAATGTCGTGCCACGCGCAGTGTAGGGTTCCGTAGTTGCTTGTATTTACCACAGTCACAGAATATATACACTACGCGAAAA